TAACTAAGAAAACAACATTGGTCCTCTTGGGCAGGGGCTACCGTACACTGGTAAAGTTTATTTCTTCTTCATAATTCAGTTTTTCTCCTTTTCTTTTTTGAGAGAGGCTCTTTTACACAGCCCAAGTGACACGATGCCTCAAACTCACCATTTAGCTGAGGATAGCCTGAGTTGATCCTGCTTCTACATGCTGACTACTAGAATTACATACTTGCACCACAACAACCCATGTATGTCACCCTGGAGTTCAAACCCAGCGCCTGGGGCAGGCTAGCTAAGCCTCTACCAACCGAGCTATGTCTTTAGCCTAGAAGTTGGCTTTTTTTTTTTTTATCATGAAGATTAGTCAAGAACACCAAAGCCTGAGTCACCATCCTGTTCTAGGACTCTTGCTGTTTCCGGTTCTCAGCAGGATGTTTTGGTGCTGTGCCAGATGCTGGCATCCCCACAGTCCATGTGGCCAGGACCTTTGCCAAGATTCCACCGTTGTACTCCTTCCTTGATGAGGGCATTGACCTTGTCTTTTGTGATGGTTGTCTCACAGTCATGAAAGATGACGGTAGATGCAGGGAGCCCTGAGAGGAGGCCATGATGAGAGGGGTAAGGCAGGGCTGGTGCTGCCAGGCACGACTAAGTGCCACATGAAGTGAGGACCTCGTCTGTTGCAGCCTTGGTTTTCTCAACAGGACCATGCTATGGTATGGCACCTGGGGAAAAACTTGGGTTTCCTTTTTAAGAGAGAGAGAAAAAAAAAGATGAAGATATAAAGAACTACGTGTGGTGGTATGTACCTGTAATCCCAGGACTATGGAGATGGCAGTAGAAAGGTCACCAGGTGCAGGCTATCCTGGGCTATACAGGGATATACTGTCTCAAAAAGAAAATGAAACAAAAAGCAAATTTTTAAAGCTTGAGATGGTTTGAGCTGTTTTTATTTTCTCAGAGAACTTGGGGGGTGTGGCTTAGGATAGCTAGATTGCAAGGTGGGTGCTAGAAGAGTCTGGCAGGAAGCCACTGACAAAGCTGCTGGAAGAAGGCCTGGGGACCTGTGTACTTCATCTGTGTGTGAGCTTAACCTTGTGGAGAAGGTACCCTGGACAGGGAGAGCTGATCCGGTCTGTATTTGAAGGGATGTTCTGGGGAGAAGATCTATAGGCTAAGCTGGGGTAATAGTGAAACCAAAGGGGCCCAGTCCACAGGTCTTTCTACAGCTGACTGGTGTTGTCATTGGGTGTGTGTGTGTGTGTGTGTTTGTGCATACCGGTGCCCATGGAAGCCAGGAGCAGGTGTTGTATCCCTTGGAGTTTGTAGGCTTAGATTTTTCAGAACCTACTTTACTTAGGGTTCTTAAACACTTCAACCTACCTTCTAACCCACTTTGCTTCTAGTTCACTACTTCTAGAGGTAGTGGGAAAAGAAGGCTAATTGGGAAAAGGAAGTTGTATACCTGTTTTGAAGTAATTTTTTTGGGGGGGATTCCACTCGTTGTCAGGATACCAGCAGTCCAGTTCAATAGCAAACACCAAACATGAATCAGAAGCAGCAGCAAGATCCAGCAGAAACAGCAAAGCTCTGCTTAATCAGCATGAGTCAGTGAAAGCAGCAAAATGGCCAGAATGAGCTGGATACCATAAGAAGTTCTATGGTGCATTTCTCTCTAGGAAGTGAAGACCAGTGAAGACCAGCGAAGCACTGTGGGATAGCACTGGGAGAGCCTCCTGTGGGGTTCTATTTATATTCTTTCTAAACATCCTGTGCCCTCTCAAGTGCCAGTTTCAGAAAAACATCCCATGCCCTCTCACAAGACAGCTACCAGAAAAACATCACGTGACACAGCTGAGTTGTCAAAGAAACCAGAAATTTCCACTTGAGCTGGAGCTACAGGCATGGTGAGCCACCTTATTTGGGAGCTGGAAACTGAAGTCTGGTCCTTCAGAAGGACAGCAAGCATTCTAAATCCTTGAGCCCTCTCTCCCGCCAGGTGTGTCTTTTCAAACAGGAAGCTGCCTGCTTTGGAACTTTTTTTGCAGTCAAGGATGACCTTAAACTCCTGACACTGCCTCATCCTGCATTCAGATTTTAGTTTTTTCTCCTCATAGGCCTCAGGCTGTTTCTCCTTTTCTATTTGCCACCATCTTTTCCATTCACTGGGTAAGATTTACTACAAAACTCCTTCAAATTTCAAACATATGTACCCTAGCACCTCTATTTTCATTTTACACAATACTTTCACTGCTATTTATTAGAATTTGGATAAGAGGGGAAATGTAGGTAAAAGGGCAAGGAAAAATACCCTGATCCAGACTTGACCCCAAGACCAGGGCCAAGAAACAGAATCCCACCAATCCCTGGCCAGCCTGGAATTCCCCCCCCCCATCTATAAACCCCCCAATCTATAAACCTCTCTTTCTGCTCAATTCTCTGCTGCTTCTCACCAGAGCAGAGACAACCACCCAACCATCCTCCTGGGTCATCTCCTGAACCCCATAAATGTCCCGTGTGAGGTTTGTTGTGCAGTGTGACTCTGTGGTACCCTTGGGTCCTGATTGCCAGGACACCCCTCTAAGCAGAGCTGTAACACTTTCTCTGGGGTAACTCCCCCTGCTGGAGCTGAACTGTAACACCTTTGACTGGGGGAGCAGAGCTATTCCACTTGGGTTGGGGAACCTCCCCCCTGCCCCCACAGCCAGAGCAGAGCTGTTCCACTTCTGTAGGGAAGTGTTTCCTTTCAGAGCTGCAACACTTAACAGGTGACAAAAAGCACAAAGATGAGGAAAGTCAACAAGTTTTAAAGCAAAGGCAAATAAGATTGTGCTGACTAGTCTTATGTCAACTCGACACAGGCTAGAGATACCTGAAAGGAGAGACCCTCATGTGAGAAAAGTGCCTCAAAGCATTTTCTTAATTAGTGATTGATGGGGGAGGGCCAGGTCCAGCCCATGGTGGGTGGTGACATCCCCAGGATGATAGTACTGGGTTCTATAAGAAACAGGCTGTGCAAGCCAGTAAGCAGCATTCCTCCATGGCCTCTGCCCTGTTCGAGTTCCTGTGCTGCCTGGCTTCCTACAGTGAGGAACTACAATGTGGAAGTGTAAGCCAAATAAACCGTTTTCTACCCAACTTGCTTTCTGGTCATGGTGCTTTGCTGCAGCAGTAGAAACCCTGACTAGGACAGAGACTCTCTCTCCTTAAATTTGTTCAGTGTTGCTGGTTAGGAGAAGAAAACCTTTCCCGTGTTCTCAGATGTTCAAATTAGACTCAGATGGCCTCTTTCCTTCACTCAGCATTTATTTTCTCCTCTGAGTTTATTTTTACAGGCCCAGAGAAGGCAGAGGAGGAGCAGTGTCTCAGCTGGCACATGGTTACAAAGCATTATTTGTATGGTGCTTTAGTGAGATTGTTCAAGGCTGGGCTGGAGAACATTGGCCTTTAAAGTTTTCTTTCAATTGGTGTTGAACACCTACCCAGACAGCAGCAGGAAAGAGATGGGTAAGATAAGGAACAGTGAGTCGGTAGACACAGCTGAACACATTACTGTAACTGAAACACTTCACTGGTACTGCTGCCATTTTCTTTGTGGCATCAACAGGTTTACTGCCAGCAAGTAAGGAATTCGGGGCACCAGAACCACACTTGGACTCCTGTGCAGTATCATCAAGTCGTCTCCCAGTGGAGGGTCTTTAGACTAAGATGTCCTCTATCCAGGGGCCCATTTCTTGAATTAAGAAATGCTCTGTCCATTAATAAACAGTCCACTGTGTTAGCTCTGCCAAGATAATCTAGGGATGCGTGGATTGGAATAATGAAGAGCTTTTAGATGAGAAATACCTCCTTGATTACATTTTCTAGCCTCTATATGAGGTAGGCCATGAAAAACTGAGAAGCCTTTGCTTCCTTGTACCTACAACCAGCTGACGACAATACTTCGAGTATGGCTTTTATCACTCTTTCCAGCCACCAGAACAGTTTTGATTTGCCACTTATTGCTCAGATCTATGGCTAGGCAGGTGTTGGTTATTTAAAACAAACAAACAAACTCAATCCACCATAAAGGAATTTACAGTTTTGTGGGGATAGGGAAAAATAACTTTAATACAGAAGCCTAATTTTGTATGAGACAGATCGAAGGATGAGATGTTAAAACCCTCTTGGGGAGACCCAAAGAGGTCACACTTAAAAGTGGCAAGGATGTGGGACTCTGCAGAATAACCCAGGCATGCAGCTTTGAATGCTGGAGCCATAGGAAGGGGGTTCTGGCTGAGAGTGCTCAGTAGCGGTAAGCACACCAGCTTCTGTGAGCCATAGTCATTCATTTCCTTTAGAGCTATCAACAGAGGGCTGATAACCAGCTACCTTTGCTCAAAGGTATTATTCACACCTCCCGAAAGGAAACGTCTCGCTAACTTCTCAGGAACACATCTCCTCTTTTCTCAATGGAGAGAGCTCATTCACGGCACGAGCGATCGCAGATACAACGTGCCCACAGCCTCCCTGAGCGCAGGCGCAGTGCTGGGACCACTGATTAGTGGTACCCTAGGCAAAGGACAGGGAGGAAGGCAAGGAGTGCAGCACGTTCCCTACAGCTCAGGTCGTCACCAGAATGGCTGCCCGAGGGCGGCCTGCAGGCTCGCGCACCTCTGGGCCATCAGCGCAGTTCCGGCCACCGTGGCTCTGCACACTGACACGTCTACCCAGGCTCTCCTTTCTGCTCTCCAGCTTTCTCTGTCTCCCTCCTTCCCGTTCCCCTGGAGAGACACAAACTGTGTGTAAACATCCCCTTCCTCCCCCTCCGAGGCTCGGCTCGCCCTCAGCGGGCGCCTCCAGGAACCTGAAGCGGATACAGGTCGAGCCCCTGCCACGTCGTCGCTGCCCGCAGCTCTGCGTCTGCGCGCGACGAAGGCCAGACCTGCGCGTGAGCGGCGCGGGCGCGGCCCAATGGGAGAGCCGCGGCGGCGTGCGTGGCGGGAGGGGGGCGGGGGAGGGGCGGGGCGGCAGTTGAGAGCCGAGCGGCTTGTCCGGCAGTCTGGTCTGAGCTGTCGCATCCCGGAGTCCATCTCATCTCCGCTACCCCGGCCCGAGCTCATCCTCGCTTCCGAAGCTCTCGCGCGCCCGACAGCTCGGCCCTCGCCCGTGACCAACATCATGTGCGGTAAGGGCAGCCATGGGGGTGTGTGGCGGCCGCAGGGCCCGCGCAGCGAAGCCAGAGGTGGACAGCGCGTGTCAGCGAAGCGGCCTTGGGGCGGGGGTCCTGAAGAGAGAGGTGGCCTTTGGGGCGGACGTCCCTAGGAGATTGAGGGGCCTGAGGGGAGCTGGAATGTCGGGGAGAAGGGTCTCTGGGGAGAAAGGCTGCCCGTGGGGCAAGGACTCCAGTATGGGGATTCCTGAGGTGTGGGGGCGGCCGGAGCTAGTGTGCTTGAGAAGAGGGGCCGGCAGAGGAGATTGTGGAGATTGTGGGGGACTCAGGAGTCAGAGGCTACTTAAAGGGGTTGGAGGGTTGGGGGGTGGGTCAGGGAGGGTATCAGAGCGCTTTGCATAGAGCTCAGAGGATAGATAAATGCCTACGTTAGAAGAGATGTGGGGCTCCAAGTGCCGACTGAGGAGGTATGGAGGGATGCCTAGGAAAGGTCTACCAAGTGAGTGAGGCAATCTGTGAACATACTGTGAGGTACTGGGGATAAAACTCACAAAGGCAGCTTGCTGAGTGAGTACTCGGTCCCCTAGCCACACCCCCAGTCTTTCTTATCTATCTTTCTCCCCTCTCCCTTTTTTGTGTGTGTCTTTGTAACTGGGTCCCACTTGGTAGCCCACGTTGGCCTGTAATTCACATTGTCCTGTCTCAGCCTTCTGAGTGTTGTGATTGCAAGTATGAATGACCACTCCTGGCTGGTAGCATTTCTTAAATTTACTTATCTTGCAGTCTTAAAAATACTTATTCTAGTCACTTTATTTTAGGCAGGCCTACGAGAACTCAAGCCAACACACTGATAGTGACACTACACGTTAAGTTCCTGCCCTCTTAAGTCTCTCAAAGAAACCATTACTAAATCAATAACTTGATGAGGTGGGCTCAGAGCTGATCTTACTGGAAGAGACAGGAGGAGCCCTGGCTCTCCTGATCACACACCATGCATGTACACCTCTTTAACATATGTCTTTACTACAGCCATTAAAAAATAGGCTCCTTTATTCCATATTTTAAGGATTATTATTTAGTTGGGTGGTGGTGGTGCATTTAGTCCTAGCACTCAGGAGGCAGAGGCGGGTGGAGCTCAGTGCTTTTGAGTCCAACCTGGTTCCAAGATAGCCAGGGCAGTTACACAGAGAAACTCTGTCTCTCACCCCCTCCCCCAAATATCTAGAAATGTTACTGAAAGATATCATGAGAATTATATGTGATACCACTAATAATACTCTAAAATGGGAATAAACCATTAGTAGTCCTTAAAAAGTTATATTTTTATCTTACCTTTTAAAATTGACAATGATCACTAGACCAAAAGAGTGTTTTTAAGAGATAGTATCTCATGTTGTTCCTCAAGCTGACCTAGATCACAGTTCCCCTTCAGCCTCATGAGTGCTGAGATTCTAGGCATGATCCACCATGCCTGGTTCCCAGGAAAGACCACGTTTTACAGAGCGGTATTGTAAGACTTGAAGCTGTTTGAGAAGCATGCTTTGTAGTCTTTCGCTTGTAAGAACTCAGCACGAGGTAGGTTGTCCTCAGTGCGTGGTTTTCCTGTATTTAATCGGTTCGCCTTCTGAAAATGAAGAGCATGTTTAAGCTCAGAGAGTCTAGATTCTAAACATCGAAATAGAAACACTTGTGTTGGAATTATTGGCTTAGAGTTGACTCCATAATGAATTATACCTTTACTGTTTAATAGATTGGTTTTACAGAACATACATAAGTTAGTTTCAAGTTTTAAGTAAGTAGTGAATTTTCAAGCTGGTTAATTATTAGTTGGCTGTATTTGATAGTTAAGTGTTTTCTCTTTTACTTTTTAGACTGACTCTCACTAGTTTGGGTTGGCTTTGAACTCACTCTGTAGATGGGAATAACCTTGAACTCCTGATCTTTCTCCCTCCTCCCAAGTGCTGGGATGACTGGACTCTGCTACCACACCCAGCTAGTTTAACTGTGTTGGAGTGATGAGTTGTGTACCTAGTCAAGTACCTGACATTCTGGTTGTAGGTTATTTCCTCATCTTGTTCCAGGAAGAAAAGTATTTGTATACTATAAAACAAAAAAGAAAAATTGGATGTAGTTCATGAAGGCTCAGATAAGGAAGGAGGAACTGTTAGTCATAGTGGCTACTAGTGCAAGACAGCCATTAAACTGAGTTTCACTGATTATGAAGAATAAGGAAATAAGTATGCTAGCACACAGTATTTGAGGTATCTCTGTTTTTGTTTTTTGAGACAGGGTTTCTCTGTGTAGGCCGGCTGTCCTAGAACCCAGTAACACTTTTTTTTTTTGTCTTTTTTTATTTTTTTTATTGGATATTTTCTTTATTTACATTTCAAATGTTATCAGATTTCCTGGTCTCTCCCCTCCCCCTTTTATTTTTTGTATTTTTTTATTGGATATTTATTTACATTTCAACCAGTAACACTTTGTATTTCCCAGAGTAAGGTGTCTATTTTCAGTTTTGTTTTTTTTTTTTTAGTTAGTGATTCTTGCCTTTTTAAAAATTGTTTTTTTATGTTTTTGAGACACTTACCTGAAGGTTATTGAGGGATGCTGAGTCTGGCTGCTAGGGTGACTCATAAAACCAGACTGTTCAAGCCCTTTAGAAGTCACACTGGGTAGAAAGAAGCTCTGAGGGGATAAGCTAATTGTTTAGTACACATTTCCTTGGGAAGGGAGAGGTTAATGGTGTCAGGGTTAATAGAAATGAGCAATAGGAGGTGGGAAGGGCTTGTAATACTAGTCTGTGATAGTCTGTTCCCAGAGACCCAATATTAGCAGGACTGAAGGTTCTAGAAACCTTTAAACCTAGTAACTTTGTTGGGCTATTTTTCTTTAAAGCTTTCAATTAGGAGGCCTTTATTTTATCCTTTTTTAGCATTGAGCAAAATTTAGTGTGGTTTCCTGTGGCTTGGGTACTTTCAACTGTGATTTTCAGGTACCTAGAAGGTATCAGAAGGTATTATGAAGTGGTTGATGGCACTCTTTGTTTTTTTGAGAGATGACTCAAGAGTTGCCTTCAAGGGATTGTTCGATGGTCAGAGGAAACAAAATGAATCCAGATTCAATGGCTGCAGGCACTGTCACAGTCCTATCTGAGGTGATCTGAAATTCATCAGACACAGGAGAGCTTTGTACTACTCTGTTAGACCTGGAATGTTCCAATGATGGGAGGATTCGTATCTTGAGATACAGAGATCAGTGACAAAGGCAGTCCATAGGTGGTGTTGGTCACCTTCAGTGAGTGTGGGTAGAAGTAGATTTGAGAACTTGTTGTTGTTGTTGTTGTTGTTGTTGTTGTTGAGATAATGGTTTTTAAAATGCTGACCTGGTACCACAGAGGTCAGAAGAGAGTATTGAGTCTCCTGGAACTGAAGTTAAGGATGGCTGTGAACCACATGTAGGTGTTGGGAACAGAACCAAGGCCCTCTGCAAGAGCAACAAGTTTTCTTCACCTTTGAGCTGTCTCTCCAGCCTCTCAATGCATTATTTTTTTAAAAAAGGTCTTACATGTAGAATGTGGCTGCATAATTATAATATTGAATGTATTTATGATAAGGGATTAGTCTATATAAGTCTTAAATGTACCATTGCCATTACAAAGAAACAAATCTCAGTAGAGCTGTAGTCATATAAGTGTGACATGTCTATTACCTATGATGATGTGGCACCATAAGAAGGCTCAGAGAGTTCACCGGAATGAATCAATAATTTGGGGTAGAAAATCTGTTCATAACTACTGTTCAATTCTACTGCAGCAATTACAAAAGGGTGACTTGTTAAGCTTTTGTAGTTACTTTAAGCAGGACTGCATATTGGGAAGTTTAAAAAGACAAAGACCTCAAAGTACAAGCTGAAGTAGTGACTTCTTTCTAGGAGACAGCCATGAGAGTATGAATGTCTCTGTGAAGTTGCCCTGCCTGCCTGAGTAGATGTTTGCTTGTCATCTCTTCCTGGCTACTCTGAGATAGTGGATAATATCAGAGTCCTAACTGGCGGATTCGTTTCTTTCTTTATCTCTCTTTTCCTCCCTCCCTCCCTCCCTCCCTCCTTCCCTCCCTCCCTCTTTCTCTTTTCATTCTTCCTCTTCCTCCCCTTTTTCTCCATTTTTTCCAAAACAGAGTTTCTTTGTGTAGACCCGGCTGTCTGAGAATTCACTCTGTAAACGAGGCTGCCCTCAAACCCAAGAAATCCACCTGCCTCTGCCTCCCAAATGTTGGGATTAGAGGCATATGCCACCACTCCCTGGTTAACTGGGGGGTTTTTCTTGGGCCAGTAGTTTCAAAGGACAGTTTACCAAACACCATAATAATGATTATTGGCTATAGTAGTACAGCCTTTATTGAGTGAAAAAAGTTTTTGAGTTGTAACTTAAGTTCATTGAATCAAAGATACCAGCAATTGGAAGATGCACCATCATCATGGAAACATAAGGAGAGAAACTATGTATAATCAAACTTTAAATCAATGTGTTCAATCAGTAGGGGCCGTCAGACCTAGAAACTGTTCTGGAGACACTTTCAGAAGGTTATGTACTGGTATATCAGCCAGAGTTCTCTAGAGTCACAGAACTTATGGAATGTTGGTATATATTAAGGGAATTTATTGGAATAATTTACAGTCTGCAGTCCCAACTAACCCAACAATGGGCAGCTGTGAATGGGAAGTCCAAGGATCTAGTAGCTGCTCAGTCCCACAAGGCTGGGTGTTTCAGCTAGTCTTCTGAATAAGCTGGAATCCTGAAGAAGTAGGTTCCAATAGATGAGCTGGCAAGTGAGTGCAAGCAAGTGAAGAAGGAAGCCTTCCTTCTTCCACTGTCCTTAAGTAGGCCTCCAGCAGAGGGTGTGGCCCAGATTAAAGGTGTGTACCACCGTGCCTGGACCTAAGTTCTTTACTTGGAACTTGCTCTGTCCCTGACAGGCCTTAAATTCAGAGATCTGCTTGCCTCTGTGTCCTGAGATTATAGGTGTGTACCTCCTTGCCTGGGCCTAAGCTTTTCATGGCTACTATGCCTCAAGATCTGGGTCAAAAGTGTGTGTCTTCCAGCCTCAAGATCTGGATCACAGGTGTGCCCTCCATTTCTGGATTGTAGATCATTCCAGGTACAGTCAAGTTGACAACCAGGAAGAGCCATCACAACTGGGTGATTTGATTTCTCTACTGGAAACCTGGCATCACCAGCAAAAGCCTTGAGAATGTGCTTCCTTGATCCACTGTTGCCTCTAGCTCTAACCTTGGAACTTTTTACTTATCTTCCCTAAAGTCGAGGGATGGAGGATCAGATTAGTTATGTTATGGAAACAACTAAACACAACTCCAGAGGGAAGGCCTTGAGTGGGACACTTGGCCCATGCTTGTCTTAGGGAAATGGTATGATGAGGGAAGAACACTCTGGATAAGAGTTTTAAGAATGACAACAATGTGATGTGAAAGGTGGGCCTTTATTAGATTTTAGAATAAACAAGTCAGCTGTAAAGGACTTTTTTATACTAGGGTAAATTTTAACATGAATATCATATTAGGTGGTAATGGAGCATCTTAGGTGTGATAGGATTTTGTAGAAGAGTCCTGATTTTTTTTTTTTAATGTAACCTTTGTTTTATATGTATGGATCTCCCTTCATGTATGTCTGTATGGCCAAAAGAGGGCGTTGGCTCCCCTAGGACTGGAGTTACAGGTACTCCACGTGGGTGCTGGAACTGCATAATGAAACCCTGTCTCAAAGGGGTGGGTGAGGTGGCTCAGGTGAAAGTACCCATTCCCAAGAGTAGTCCGTTGACTCCACGATCACTGGGGCTGTGCACACCTGCAGTCACATCACGTCTCAAACTAAAAAGAAAACTTGTCCACCAGTGACAGCAATTCCAGCAATTACAGTAGTGGGTGTTTGCGATGCCAAAGCCAAAGAGAGTTTCAACTCCAGTTTATCAACACTTTCCAGTACAAACTACAAGCTGTGCCTTTCACTGGATGAATGGATAAGAAAGTGTGTGTTTGTATGGAATATAACTCAGTCTAAAACAGTGAAGCCCTGTCATTTGCAGAAACAGAGGTAAAGAACTTTAGGACACTGTGTTGAGTGAAATCAACCAGACTCAGAATGGCAAATACACTTTCTAACTTATGTATGAAAATCAGTATCACCCTTGTAGAAGTACTGAGTAGGGAAGGGGGCAGGGGAAAGAGGGACTTCAGGGATGCAGAAGGTGCTAAGATCTACCTGGAGCCACACTCTAAAGACAACTGACTCTTAGAAGCCACCAGTTGTCCACGTCTCTTCAGTTAGGGGTGAGGGTTCATGAATCCCTTTCCACTCTGTGTTAGAACAGGCAACCACAGTTACTGTGAGTTCATGAGTGCAGAGATCCTGTGTAGTGACAATTCTGGATGTTTGTTTCATTAAAATACAGAACTATTGGAATGTGCTTCCATTTTAGTTCCAGGTGTGGGGATATGGGGCTGCTTCCGGCTGGCTGCAGCCGCTGACCGTGATTTGCCTTAAGCTTTAGCCAAGGCATGGTTTTGTCAGCTGCAGATAGTTTCTGTGATTGTGTGACATTTGGAATTCTGGAACTTTTCAGAGGGTATATAGAGGCGATGGTGGTGGTGGTTGTTGGTGATTTAGGGTGGTTGGTTGTGGTAGCTGTGGTCAAAGAAGAAACAAAAGGAAAGAAATTTGATTCAGGGATTTTCCTAGTTCCTCTCTCCCCTCTATCCTTGTCTTTGTCTTATCTAGTGTTGGGTGAAACTAGGGGGATAAAGGGTGGGAAAAAGAAGAACCCTCAAAGTAGCAAAGATGCTGTTTGGCTCTGGTCTTCCCACCTCTGGCTTCTGCTGTCTGTGCTCTTCCACAGCGGTACCTGAGCCTGATTCAAGTCATTTGAGGCAGTTACATATTTAGGTCAGATTTTTTAAATTAAATTATTGTTGTATTGGGTTGTAGTTGAATAATAGACCACTTGACTAAAATGTGGTCTTCAGGTCTGGAAAAAAAATGAATTATGAGATTTTGTTTCGTTTTTAACACAAAATTTATCACTAAACACTATTTATAGTAGAAATATTCACTTATTTTAGTTCTATAGTTGTAGGAACTATTTTGTGGCTTAAAATACTAGAAAATGTATATATGTTTAATGTAATAGTATATAGGATATAGACCACAAATTTGCTTTTTAAAAAATAAATTTTACTTGATAAAATGGCAGTTAAGGAAATAGTTAGCTTTATAAGCTTTGTTGAAAACAACTAAACACTTATTTTGACATATTTTTGTTAATTTTTCATGTTTATAAAACTTCCCTTTTGAAAAAGTTACATGGACTCTAATTGATTTCTTTTTAAAAAGTGAAATCTAGCTTTATATTTCTGCATAGCCTAAACATAATTATGTGATGTTTGATTCATCAGCATTGTCCATTAAATATTTTTTTTTTTGCAGGTATATTTGCTTATTTAAATTACCATGTTCCTCGAACAAGACGAGAAATCTTGGAGACACTAATCAAAGGCCTTCAGAGACTGGAGTACAGAGGATATGATTCTGCTGGTATTTTTTTAAAAAAAAATATATTATGGGATTTGGATTCTTGAATCTAAATAGTATTTTTATTAATTTTAGGAGACTTAATTTGTGTTTGCATTGTTTTGTAAATGCAAGTCTGAAGAACTGTTAACTTTGGTCATGTCTAAGGGTTTGTGACTGTCATTTCAGCAGTATTACCGTTTATGTGAATGTTGCTTCTCAGTGATTTCCTTAGGAAGAGTGATTTCTCAGTGATTTCCTAGGGCTTGGGGAGGTGCTTAGTTTTTAGTGTATGTGAAGCCTTGGGTTCATTCCTTACACCATGTAAGCTGGGTTTGGTGGCTCAGACCTGTGGTCTCAGCACTGAGGAGGTAGAGGCAGGAAGGCAAGTTCAAAGACATCCTTAGACATACTAAGTTTGAGGCCAGCCTGGGCTATAGGAGTCTTTATCTAAAAATAAACATAACAAACGTTAACTATAAAACCATAAATTATGAGACTTTTTTTTTGTGGGAACAACTTGTAGAACACTGTACTGTAAAATTCTTTCTTCTTTCTTTGTAAAAGGTCTGTTTTTTTAAAATTGTGTGTCTGCATCCATGACTGCAGGTGCTGGAGGAACCCTTTATCCCCCTGGTTTCACCCAACACTAGATGCTTGACATGGGTCCAGCAACTGAGCCTCAGGTTCCTGACACAGCTCTTACCCTCTCAGCCACTTCTCCAGCCCAGCCCTATAGTGTCAGATTGGCAGAGTCTGTTTGACTCTGGCTACCTGTGTTGAGGTCCACCAGAAGCTCACTTTCAGTGGTTCCTAGCAACTCATGAGCCTCAGCAAATAGTTACATGCATAGCTCTGTGATTCACTACAGCAGAACAATCAAGAGCAAAATCAGGAAAGGGAACGGGTGTGGGATGAAGTCTACAGGAAAGCAGGCACCTACTTCCAAGAAGCCTGTTTTATCAGGATATGCTTCATGTCCCTAACAGCAGGTTGTGATCGTACACATGAATGTTGTCTACTAGGTAAACGCCTGATGATTCAGAGCCAGACACATAGCAGCAGGCCATCCCAGAGCAACACACGGTTTTCATGAACAGTCTAGGCATAGGAGCTTCTCAAGTGGTTAGAATCCCCCTGAAATCTATGATTGCAAAAGGATATCCTGTTGGTTTCTCATTCCTGTTTGGTAGGTATGGGAATGGAAGCCAAGGTTGCACATGCAAGGGGCACTGGGCTATCCCCCGTTCTGGTTCTTTGGTGTTTCAATTCTCCATTTTTAGCTTTCCTAGTGTAGCTTCTCATGGATGCTGATTAGGTTTGCTGTCAGCCTTGGAGGCCTCTTTCTTTTGTCTATTGCTTAAGTAGGAATGTTCTTTAAGGGTTTTTTTCTTCATCTTTTATTATTTATTTGAGATTAAGTCTTGTTCTATAGCTTAGGCAGACGTTTTCCTCCAAGTGCTGAGATTACGGGCGTGAACCCCACTTCACCCTCAGAGGTTGTTGGCTTAGCTCACTTGTCTTTATATTTTCATGGTGAGATGACTTCATCACCTCTACATTGTGATTTACAGTCCATGTATTTTGTTTGTTTAAAGTTTTTGAGACAGTCTTTCTTTGTAGACTATGCTGACCTCAAACTTTCCATCCCTCTGCCTCAGTCTTTTGAGTGCTAGGATTACAGGTATGAGGTACCACACTTGACTTGCCTATCTAATCCATGTGAGCTTCCCAAGTTGCAGACCTGTGTTTCTAGCTGCCTTCTAGAAATATCTTCATGGGTAGAACACGGTGCAGTGTACTTTTCAGGTTCATAGCTGAACTGTACACATTGTGGTCCTCACTGCAGACCTCATTCTGTTCTGTGTCCCGTCCATCAGCAATCATGCCACGCTTCCTTGAACCCAGGAGGGAACCTCGGCTGCTGCCTTCTCACATCTCATCGGGCCCTTCTGTTCCTCACTTGTCTCTGTTCAAATCAGGCCTTCTATGTTTTTGCTTTGTTTCAGCTGTAATTTCCTCTTTCTCCCTCACCAACCCATCCTCCCCTCTCTGCCATTTTCAGAGCATTTGCTAGCTGTTCGTGCCATGTTATTTTTGTTTGAAATGACCTTCATGGTCTAAGTAAGCTTTTTGAATTCTTAGTAACTTAAGTCTCGTCTCAGAAGATGCTTTCCTGACCATCCTGTTTTCCTTCTGAGGTGAGCACCTCACTTTTGCGTGTCTCCACTGTGCCTATGGCACTATCTCAGCTTATAGTTTATATAGCAGTTGCTTGTCTAAGTAATAATTTTGATTGCCATTATTCTTTCTCTGTCTGTTTTCTCAAGACTGTTATTAGACCGGGATTGAGTTCTCCTGACCTCTCTCCTGACCTTCCTTTTCATACCCTCTGTTCTGATGCTGGGTTTGAACCCAAGTTCCTGTGCATGCTAAATGAGCTCTTTACTACTCAGCTATGCTCCCAGACTTATTTTTATTTATTTTTTTTGTTTTGTTTATAAACAGCTGTCACTTAACACATAATATGTTTTCAGAAAATCTACTTGGTAAATGAGTTAATTAGATGAACGTATATATAATTTACCTAAATTGTTATTATTTTTTTCCTCATATTGGCATTGTTAGCCAGTTTGTAAGTCGTGGCATTTCTCCCTGTCTCTTGCTAATTTAGGTGTGGGGCTTGATGGAGGCAATGACAAAGACTGGGAAGCCAATGCCTGCAAAATCCAGCTCATTAAGAAGAAAGGAAAAGTCAAGGCACTGGATGAAGAAGTTCACAGTAATGTACTTTGATTTTTCCCATTCTTCCCCTTTTTTGGACACATTTAAGGAAGGCTCAAAGGTTGAAGAGAAGGAAGAAAAATAATTTTCTTACTACTTCGGTTTAAAGTGTTCGTGAGCTTCAAAAATGATGACAGCAGTTAGAAAAGAAATGAGGTCTAGTGGGTGTGGAGCAGGCTCCTAGCTCACAATGCAGAGCTTCAGAAGCACTGTCCTGAGGATGGGTCTCACATAGGCAGCCTGCTTGCTCATATGTCTCCACTTGGCTCGGTTTTGTCTTTGTTTGACAATGACCCCAAGTGCAAGATGCTGATGCTGGTTTGCTGACCTGCCAGAGAAGCCATAAGGGGCTTTTTGTGAAGGGGGAAGAGTTAATGTTATTATTTAAAAAGGGAAGAAGGAAAATCAAATGCTTACTTTGCTAAGAGGTAAGGTAAGGGTGCACCTTCCACCTAAAATTGAGAAGAAACAAATTGGTGCTAGCTCTGCTGTCATGTCTCCAGCTGAAAAAGCTGTGGTCATAGGCCACAGTGAGTGTTTATCCAAGTGGAAACACAATGACACTGTAGGAAAACATGCTATGAGCAGAGCTTAGTGCCATTGGAGTTTCAGGTATCCACTGAGTATCTTGAAACACAAACCGTGTGGATAAGGGGACTGGTACAGTTTTCTTTAATATAATTTACATCTACAGCGTTATCAAATACCAGAGTCTTAAACTTTATCTCTTACAGAACAACAAGACATGGACTTGGATATAGAATTTGATGTGCATCTTGGAATAGCTCATACCCGTTGGGCAACACATGGAGAACCTAATCCTGTCAATAGTCACCCCCAGCGCTCTGATAAAAATAATGGTATGAGTTAGATTGTGTGTAGTTTGAATGATTTTACTGGGCAGTAACAGGAGGGGAATCAAGCTGCTTATGTTGTTACTTTAGTTTGTTGATTATTTGGAAATTTCAAAACATATTCAGAGAGTGTACAGAACTTAATCCCATTCTCCCTGTATAGGTTATTTTGGAATTGCAGTAATAAAGATTGGTAACTTCAACATATCAATCTTTTTATCTCTTTCTCTTGTAATTTAGGATGTTATTTGTAAGTTTCCTGTTGTTTATGTATTGCTAATTACATCTACTCCTGTTATGTTGTTTAATGTTTCCTCATATCTTCATTTTTGTCTTTGTTTAAAGCAGTTTTTCTCTGTAGGCTTGACTGGCCTTTGCCTTGTACCGATCCTTCTTTCCCTGCCTCCCAAGCACTGAGATTATAGGTGTGTTCTATCATGCCCTGCTAAACAGACATGTTAGTTTATTTTTACTTTCCCAGGCACTGAGCCCAGGGTGCAGTACTGCTTGGCAGGTTTCTACCGTGAGCTGTATCTTCAGCCTGAGTATTTCCTATAAATGAAGAACCTGGAGGTTCAGTGTTTGTCATGCTACACATGGATGATTACTGCAGAGATCATAGGGATTGTCAAATGCTAGGAGGCTAGTACTTAAAAAGTCCTTTTTTAATTTTGAGCTCAGATAAATCTATAAGAAGAAGTTCCTGTCAATCTCTTGTTTACTCTGAGGGATAGCTTGTATTGGAAAGGCAGGGTGAATGGTTGAGTCTTTTCCCTTAGTTATTATTTTTCAGACATTAAGTAATTCTAATGTTTTCCGAGCAATGTGTTTTTTTCATTATTATAACCTCTTAATTTCTTTGAGTGTCTTTGAAGTTGAATTTTGAGTTACTCTACAAGGAATGGGTTTCTTTGTGACATTCATCCGTCATTACACATTCTTAGTGTCTGTTCTGCACTGACTGCACTCCATCCTTTACCCCTCTTGTTCACCTCCTCCTTCCCTCCAAATAGTTCTCGAGACTGAGACACTGTGCACTGCACTCCTGAAGCACCTCTGAGTCGTTTGTGGTAGCTACTTGATTTATTTCTGTATCCTGAGGTAGTCCTTTGCATGGTTGCAGCTATTTTCCTGTTTTGCCCACTGGGAGCTTATTCCAATTACTTCCTGTTTCTTTTTGAGCCGATCTCAGTAGGCTTAGTCATCTTGCTTACTTTTCTTTTGAGAACTAAAGATGTGAGATCTTTAGGTACATTGAGAACATTTTGAATAATGTAGTAGAAAATTAGATTTATATTATTTTGGTGACACATGCTTCCTGTTCTGGTGACACAGAAGGCTGAGGCAGGCAGAGCGTTTGAGTCTAGGAGTTAAGGCCAATCAAGGCAACAAAACCATTGTATTTAGTAATAATTATGTTTTGTTGTTTCGACAGGGTCTCACTGTGTAGCTCTAGCTGGCCTGGAACTCACGATGTAAACCAGGCTGTCCTTGAACTCATAGAAATCCTCCTGCTTCTGCCTTCTGAGTGCTGTTAAAGGCATTTGTCACCATACCCAGTCATAATTATTCTTATGATATATGAATTTAAAGCTACACTGTATACTGTGTATACTGTCATGGCTACACATAATACTGTGAACTCTTAGTTATCTATTTTTAACATTTTTCAGTCATCATTTAATAAAAATAGATGAAATTGATCTCTCAGGATTATATTTATTTCGTCTTGGAATGCAACTTTGACATTTTCATGTGACATTCCAGGAGTGATCTGGACCTTTCTCAAATCAATTTATAGAACTTGGTAAATATGTAGGTATTAGTTCTTAAGCTTTATTTAGTGTCACTGGGATTGTTGTAGTTGGAAAGGACTCATGTTTAAACTTAACCAAAGAATAAATAAACACAACCAGGGCTACACAGAGAAACCCTGTCTCGAAAAGCCAAAAAAAAGAATAAATAAACAGAGACCTGAGTGTTCAAGTAGGGTAGCGTTCTGCAAGTGAGGGAACGGCACAGGAGACTTGCTCCTTTCATCCCCTAACGTGGGGGTAGTAGCTTAGTGGAGCAGAAGTCAGAAGTGGTGCGTCTCCTCATGTACATGCTGTGTATTAGTGCAGAATCAGGGCTGGTGAGCTGCCTGATGACAAGCCACAGGAAGAAGAATGTGGCACCTGAGGACACCCACTAGTAGATTACTATTTGACTTGAGAAAAATCTATAGACCAGGTGTGGTGGTGTGTGTCTGTAATCACAGCACTTGGGTGACAGAGGTAACAAAATTACCATTAGTTCAAAGCTAGCCTGGGCTACATAGTAAAACCTTGTCTCAAGAAAATGGAAGAGCAGGACTGGGAGGTAGTTCAATGGCAGAATGCTTGCCTGGCATGGAGTGGCCCTGGATTCAAACCCCAGGGCAACCACTAAAACAATAAGCAGAGGGGAAACACATCGGGAAGTCTATGCATGATAGCTATTCACAGCATTTCTCAGACTCTAATATTCAGTCAATACTTTTATCTCTTCTAGAATTCATTGTTATTCATAATGGAATCATCACCAACTACAAAGACTTGAAAAAGTTTCTGGTAAGTGAGGTGAACCCGGAAGATACCATCTACTGAGAGTCAGGAGGTAGTTTGTTGGGGTGTGCAGTGTTATTTAGACATATTCAAGTAATCCCCATAATAATTTCCAGGATGGTTTTATTGTATTTCTCTGTTGACAGTGAAACAGTATTGATCTTTTTAATAACTTATTTTTATTTTATGTGCATTGATGTCCTGCCTAAATGCGCATCTGTGTGAGGGTGTCAGATCTTAGAGTTACAGACTGTTGTGAGCAGCCATGTGAGTCCTGGGAACGGAACCTCAGTCCTCTGGAAGAACAGTCAGTGCTCCCAAGTGCTGAGCCATCTTTCCTGCCCCACAGTTCTGATTTCTTACATGGCATTTTGAGGACAAGCTATATTCCATGATGTGACAGGGCCATCTCAGTGTCGTCTGTTGAGTTTGTGCAGTGAAGAGAACTGTCCGTATCTAGCATTGTGGGAGCTGTGCATCTAGGACGGCTAAGCTGCTCTGACAGAGAAACTGGAGTTTACGTTTAAGTAACCCTGTATAGCTAATGGCTCTTCATTGGACAGTTGAGGATCACCGAATCATTGTTACTCATGAGATTAGGATTTTGAATATTATATATTCCACTATATTTTAATTACTGTTTAAATCATATGAGGCAAATATAAGTTAAGCCTTTTGAGTTGTATTCAATAATATGTTATTTTGAATTCTCTAAATCATATTTTAGTTTTGATTAAAATTAATTTTAATTAATCAATTTTATTAACATTAATTGAATCATACTTATTAAATTTACTATTATAAATTAAATTTTAGCTAATTTTAATTTAAATTTTGAGTAGAATAAATTCAGTATGACATTGAAAATGTTAGCAGTTAGTAAGATCTTCAGGGTTGGTGAGGTGGGTAAGGTGTTTGCCACCTGACAACATTGAATTTATTCCCTGAATCCTACAGAATGGTGGAAGGCTAAAATGGATTCCTCATGGTTGTCTTCTAACCCTCAAGCACACACTGTGGCACATTTAGCCTGTACTCACAGACTATACATGCACATGCATATATATGTGCACACACAATTAGAAATTCAGTTGGATTTTGAGACAAAAAATCCTAGAAACTGTTCGCATAGGGGCTGGAGAGTTGGCCCAGTGGTTTAGAATACTTGTTGCTCTTCAGAAGACTTCCATCACCCACATGACGATTGAAAACTGTCTGCAGCTCCACTTTCAGGGGCTCTGATGCTCTCTTCTGAGCTGAGGGCACCAGTCATACTCATGCACAGACATACATAAATACATAAACTAAAATGAAAAATCTGATGTTTTTTAAAGGTGAACAAAAAAGGGACCATTAAGTTAAAGAAATATTTGAACATTGTATATACTTAAATGTGTCTTTCGTTCCCCTTTTTTCTAATATTTGAACGTTGTATATACTTAAATGTGTCTTTCGTTCCCCTTTTTTCTAATATTTGAACGTTGTATATACTTAAATGTGTCTTTTGTTCCCCTTTTTTCCTCCTTTAGGAAAGCAAAGGCTATGACTTTGAGTCGGAAACAGACACAGAAACCATTGCCAAGCTCGTCAAGTACATGTATGACAACTGGGAAAGTCAGGACGTCAGTTTTACTACCTTGGTGGAGAGAGTTATCCAACAATTGGTATTAAGCCATACTTTTAAAGATCATTATGTCAGGACTGAGGGTATAACTCATGAGAAAAGCCCTTGCAATGCAAGTACGGGGACCAGGGTTCAGATCCCCAGCACCACATAAATGCTGGGTGGATATGGAAGCCTCTTTGTAGTTCCAGCTCCCAGGAGGTGGTGGAACTGGATTCTGCAGCAAGCTGTGTGGTTGACTACATTAGTGAGTCAGCAAATTGTGGGTTCAAGTGAGAGACCCTACCTTAGTATGTAAGGCACAGAGCAATGGAAGAAGACAGCTAGCTCAAATCTCCGGCTTCCACCCATACTCACACATGTGCCTGCATACCCCCATTTATAACCACAACCATGCGTGCACACACACATACTAATATATGTGCCTAGCATACACACACATACAAGAAAAAGTAATTATGCTAATATTAATTTCAAGTAGCTTTCTTAAAATGTTTGATGAACAGGAACTATGCTGATTTTTTTTAACTCATAGGATTCTAACATTAGACAACTATATTTGTGAGATATTTTATTGTCAGTGTGTGTGCGCGTATGTGAGTGAAGGCAAGAGACTAGCATTGGGTATCTTAAAACTGTTGTTGCTTATCTTTTATGTGAGTACTAGGGGTCGGAACTCACGCTATGTGGGTAGCATTTTTCTAACTGGGTCTTCTTTTAGGCTTTTATAACACACATCAAACACACATAGAAACAAGCGTGCTCGCCCGCGTGTGCGCACACACACACACACACACACACACACACAAACACAATTCAATGCAGGGAATTTTGAGAAACTATTGTTTGACTTACTAACTTGCTTTCCTGGGATTTACCATTACATTGATTATTACAGTAACTATATTCTATTTCACTGTAGTTAGAGGGTAAAAAAGTACGTTTTGGTGGCAAAATGGCTCAGTAGACAAATTGCTGTGCAAGGCTGACAACCTGAGTTTGCTCTTGAAAATTCAGAGTTGTCCTCTGACATTTACATGTATGTCTTTTTTTTTAATTTATTTTTTGTTGTTATGTGGGTGTGTATGTGTGGGTGGGTAGTGCTCAAGTGTGTCTACATGCATGGACCTGTGTACTCACGTGTAGACGCAGGTATCAGTATTAGCGTCTGTTGAAGCCAGAGGAGGGCATTGGATTCTCTGAAGCTAGAGGAACAGGTGATTGTGAGATGCCCGGTGTGGGTGCTGAGAACCAAATTCAAGTCCTCTACAAGAGCAGCACATGCTGCTAACAGGGAGCCGTCTCCCTGTCTCATTTTAATAACCATGGTTGTGTATGTCTGTCAAGCCCACGACTGAGGGCAGAAGAATGGAGGTTAGTAGTGGGTGTTATGGGCTTTGGATGTGGAGCTTGCCTCTCTGTTAGTTCTTCCTTCCTGAACAGATGAGTAGTCTGAAAGAGATGTGTCTGTTGAGAAACCTGCTAAGCACACAGGTGACTTTCCAGATGCTCCACTTTTTCAGCGAGTATTGGAAAGGAAGCTTGGTGATAAGAGTTTGCTCACATCAGAGCTCAGGAGTCGGTGTCTACCTAAGATGAGGGGGGATGTTAGGGAGATCTTGCTGCAGCGCCTAAACTGGAGACTTGATAAAAACTAGTTCAAAAGAGAACAAGTGTGGACAGTGTCTGTGCAGAATCCTGTGTGTTTTCAATGTTTGAGAATGGCTAACAAGAATACTACTGATGCTCCTCTCCCCCATAGGAAGGCGCCTTTGCTCTTGTGTTTAAAAGTGTCCATTTTCCCGGGCAAGCAGTTGGCACAAGGTACAATCGATTTTCTTTTAAGAACTAATGATGACATACATGTTGAAACATTCAGGTTACAGGATAACTCTCAGTAACCTGGGAGCAGCCCTTCACTGTTTCCTTAGAAGTCTGGCTCTATTTCCATTCACTGTTCTCTCTGTAGCATGCTTTAACAGAGTCTCTTAGTAGAGAGAACACATTTTGGCATTGTGATTTGTATTTGGTGAGCATGGTAGCTGTTTATAAATTTGGATATGGAATATTTTAGACCCAAAGCATTAACTTTCTCCATATTTTTTGGAAACGTGTGTCAGATAGATTCCCAAGGAATTTTAGAACCACTGGTTTTGCTAGGATATTTAGAAATGATCCTGAAGTTCTTAGAGCAGTAAGAACATTTAAGATCTGGGGGGCTGGAGAGAGAGCTCAGAGGTTAGAGCACTGGCTGCCCTTCCACAGGTCCTGAGTTCAATTCCTAGCAACCACACGTGGTCTCATAAACATCCATAATGAGATCTGGTGCCCTCTTCTGGCATGCAGGCATGCACGCAAGCAGAGCACTATGTACATAATAGATAAATCTTTAAAACAAAACAACAACAACAAAAAACTTTAAACAGATGGTTATCTTTAATTTGAAGGGAGGATGCCTAAGGATATACTGGTGTCTGTATACAATGAAAAGTTCTTCACATTAAAAGAACAGTTTAAAATACAATGTGTTATAGGATATGGGTTGGCAATTATCTTTTCCAGAGTGGGTCAGATAGGAAATACTTGAGTGTGTTGGGACACATGGCCTTCCCAACAGCACTCAGAGTTGTTGTCAGGCATGACAGCTGCTGCAGAGGAAGGACTTCACTGTGTCTCAGTGAGATTTTAAAGCAGTTGTAATTTGCGAGTTGAAAATTGTTTATTAGAAGTAGGCAGGTGTGGCCTAGGGACTCAGTTTTCTAATGTAGTTATTTTATTATACTTGAAGTTCAACTCAGAGGGGAAATTAAATCATTTGAAGAGCATTATATTTCAAATTAAAGTGAATTTTGAATTCATACTTAAAATTTATGTTCTTTATATTAAATATTTTTTATATTTACATATTTTATATTTTATATTTATATATATATTTTTAATTTATTTATCTTGTTAGTGCATTGTTTATGGAAAAGGTTTGATTCTGACTCATTGCATTTCAGGCGAGGTAGCCCTCTCTTGATTGGTGTGCGTAGTGAACATAAGCTTTCTACAGATCACATTCCGATTCTGTATAGAACAGGTAAGTTGTTGCATTCCATTGTACGTACGGTGCAGGAGCTCTGAGAACCTGCTCCATGTGCTGCAGTAAATGTTCTTTGGTTGGATCTGTGTGTACTTGTGCATACAATTATGTAGTTCTATCTAGACACGAAAAACTTGTGAACACTCTGACAAGAGAATTTTTCTCTGTTGTACATCCATAGCTAGGACTCAGATTGGATCAAAGTTCACATGGTGGGGATCCCAGGCAGAACGAGGTGGGAATGCACTCTGCACGGATGGAAGGATTTCTCCTGCCTTCCTTCATTTACTAATTCTTTGTTTTTGAAATGAACTGAGGCTCTAAAAATGCGCTTACTTTATGGGAAAATGTTTTGGCATTTTTCTAATTCGCAGAATATATTTTGTCTGTTTGCTTTTGCCATTTTGAAAGTTGCATTATTTAATGACTGTTTTGCTAAAATGGGAGGTTTGAGGAATATTTCAAATTAAAGGCTTTTTTTTTCCTTCTCCCTGTTTTAAAATCATTTAGATGCATGCTTATATTGGGAAAGGAACAGTGAAGTAAGCGTTCGTTTCTTGAGTTACTTAACCTCACTCCTAACTGAACTGGATTTAAATGGTCCTTATTTAGTGCATGGCATTTTACTGTTATATTTTACATTGATATTATGATTTGTTTTGTTTAGTTTGGAGCCATACTTTATTTTTTATGTTGGAGGGTTTGTCATTATTGGTCCTGGTGTGACATTCAAACCCAGAGCCTTATATATGCTAGGCAAGTATTCTACCACTGGCTTGTATCCCCAGCTCCAAGGCTGATTTTTTTTTAAGATTTATTTTTATTTATTTATTTGTTATTATATGTAGGCATGTGTGTCTGCATGTGGGTGTGTGGATGCGAGTGAAGGTGTCTTGGGAGGCCAGAGGCATCAGAGCCCCTGGGGCTGAGTCATGGTTGTGAGCTGCCTGATCTGGGTTCAGGGAACCAAATCTTTGTCTTCAGAAAGACCAGGAAATTCTCTTAGCTGGTGAGTCATCTCTCCAGTACCAGTTTCTTCTTTCTGTTTTTTGAGAGGAGGTTGAAACAGGATTTTGTATAGCCTACACTAACTTCACACACTCTATGTAGCCAAGGTTGACCTTTTAACTCAACCTTGACTGTACCTCCTGAGAGCTACAGCATGTTCCCACACATGGTCAAAATTAATTTTGTGGTATGCCTTTATGCAAACTCTGAACAATTTTATTGACTTACACACAGAGAGAACAACAGTGTACTTTCTGTTTTATTACTAACTGCTGAGAACTTTCTGTGTACAAGGTAGGGGAATGTTGGCTTCAGAGAAATGAAACCTTAATGATTAGTGTGTAATTTTTGGCTTCTAGAATAACAGTTACCAAAAGAATGCTGAGCCTGCTCATCCTCGGATGACTGCCTTTGTGTTTTACTTGGGAAGAACATTATTTCCTTAACCAATCTTTTCGTGCTTGACAGTGCTCCTTCCTTTTTCCAGCTGTTTCACTTCTCTCCCACCCGTTCCAGAAGAAACCAGTCCAGCAGTGAGAGCAGAGTCTGGATCCACAGCTCCAGACTCCTGCATCCTCACTGCCTCTGTGTCATGAGTGCCATCTCATAGGCTGTGTTAGGTGGCTTTTAAAATAATGATTAAAAAAACTTGGGTGAGGTCTTTAAAATTTGGAAGAAACATTTTTCCTAGGAGAAGACCCTGGGAATCTGAGTTTCTCTAGTTCTAGTACATAGATGGTGTGGAGCCCCGAGTCATGCTGTCAGGAGAGCAGGCTTGGTGGGAGGGCGGTAGAGAGAGCTTTGGACTAGCTTTCAGGCTTTTGCCATTGTCTTTAACTTAAAGCCACCTCTTCCCACTGGAAAACAGTTTCATTTGAGTGAAAGAATTCCCAATATGGAAAAGAAGTTTATAGGCATTTATAGACAGTGATGTCTCAGTTTCTTTTAAATATTTCGGTTGGAGCTGCTTCTCTTAACAATGAAATTACCAATATTTGGAGTGATACTCAGCTTTAGGACATTTTTACAAACAAAGCGAGTTGTAATTTTAAATGTTGTTCTGGGCTTCAACTTGTTTTTCAATGTAGATTTTGTGTGTTGAGACAAAGTCTTACTGTATAGCTGAGATGTTGATTTTCCTGCCTCAACTTCCAGAATACTAGGATTAGAGGGATACACATGTGACTTTACTCTTTTTAGGAACAATTCATTGTTTTTTTTTTTTAAAGGATTTATTTTTAAAAGTTTTGAGATTGTTTTATGTATGAGTATTTGCTTATATGTATGTCTGTGCACCACAAGCATGCAGTACCTGTAGATGCCAGAAGAGGGCGATGGGTTCCCTGGCTTGAATGGCCATGTAGGTGTTGGGAATCCAACCCAGGTCCTCTGGAAGAGCAGCCAGTTCTGTTAACCAGTGAGCATCTCTCCAGCATCTCACTATGTAGTTCTGACTGGTCCAGAACATTCTGTATAAACCAGGCTGGCCTTGAACTTAACAGAAACCTGCCAGCTTCTGCTTCCCTGTTGCTGAACTTTTTGATGGTCAATTTTAAGATTTTTGCCAAATGCAAGTAGCTGTTTAATTAGCACTGCAGTGGAATCCTCTGGAGCTGTGTCTTTATGAGTGAGCTGCTTTTCTACAGTTTGCCAATGCATTCTTATGTTTTAAATTTGGACTCTCTTTTCTGCTTTTGAGTTTGCCTAGGAAGTGCTATTTTGGTTTCTTGCTTAAATTATTCCAGACAGCCACAGGTTGAACTTGGGATGAATCTTTCTAAGAAAGATTATCTAGTCATTGTGCATATATTTTAGAGGATAGGATCTGAATCATACATACATATATTATGCACCAGTTCGGTTGGCTTTCACTTCAGAGAATTTGTCATACTAACATACTTCCTTATTTCTAGCAAAAAAGAAAAACAAAGCAAAACAAAACAATTATTACTGATGAAAATTAATTAAATTAAGAGATTAAAGAGAACTAAAGAGATGCTGAAAACACAATACTAAGACAGGAAAGATTCTTGGCCTCTAGCATTTGCTGTGGCTAGGAATAGGTGCCATATTGGCATATCATGATTAAAATGGCATGTGTCTTTGATTTGCTTTTTAATTACATGTATTTATTCATGTATGCATATTTATGCTGTGCACACATGTGGCAGTCAAAGGATAAACTGTAGGAGTTAGTTTTCTCCTTCTATCATGTGGGGCCTGGGGATTGAACTCAGGTCTTCATGCTTAGTGGCTAGCCTTTACCTAATGAGCTATCTCATCATCTCCCTTTGCTTTGAGTTTAAGGAATATTCTAGGCCTGACTTGCTGGGCTGATTTGCTGTTAAAATCTAGAGAAGTTTGTTTGTTTGTTTGTTTGTTTTTTTAAATAATTTGGCACTAGTCTGTCTTTATGTTTTTATTTTTCATTGTACAATATTGGCTTTTTTTATTTAAAAGTTTTATGTATGAATGTTTTACCTGCATGTATTTATGTACATCACGAATGTACCTGCTGCCCAGGGAGGCAAAAGAGGGAGTCTGAGCCCTTGGAGTTGGAGTTATGGATAGATGTGAGTCACTGTGTGGATACTGTGATCCCAGCTCGGGTCCTTTTGCAGTAGCAGTGCATGTCTGTTATCTCTGAGACATGTCTCTAGCCCTGCAGCCCTTAGATTTTTAAAAGTTGTTAATAGATTGTTGGATTTCTAGTTGAGAAGAAATGACCTTCTGGAATTTACAATGCAGCACTGCTGTGTGCCGTGAGGGCTTCTCGGTGCTGTCTCACTGCCCTTCCCGCCTGTTCTCACTGGCTTACTGCATGGAGCCCAGTGAGCGGCCTCACTGTGAGAACTGCTGAAGTTGTTGGCTGCTCTGCTTTTTGTTGTTGACTTTATGAACAGTTGTACGTATTTCTAAACTGTAGCGTGATTTTTCTGTGCTTGCTAATTGTAACTTATCTCTGTACTCTAGGCAAAGACAAGAAAGGAAGCTGCGGTCTTTCCCGTGTGGACAGCACCACATGCCTTTTCCCTGTTGAGGAAAAGGCCGTTGAATATTACTTTGCTTCTGATGCAAGGTGAGCTTCCTACATTGAGTCAAGAGAATTTTCAGGAAAACTCCACACCATGAAGGTGTCGTGCAAAGATCTAAGTGCTGAGAATAGAACTGACTTGGGAATGCTAAGCAAGCAGCTTACCACTACACGATGCCTCAGCTCCAGAAGTCTTGAGTTGAGACAGTTGGGCTCACCTTGTGAGGCATGAGACAATGAGAACACTTTCCTCCTACTTCAAAGCATGATGGTTGTTTTACATACGTATTCTTAGAGACCTATTCCTTGCATTTACTCTGGAGTTTTTGTTTCTTTGTTTGATTTCTGGGAGGTATACCTAAGTATTATAGGAGGAGGGGTTGCTTTTTCCAGTAAAGTTGCTGAGAGACTAGAATTTGGGTCCTGTGGACATTTAGCTTTTACATTTCTAGTTAACTTACAGCATAATTCTTCTACAAAGGAAGACTGAAATTTTAAAAGAAAACAGAATATTTAGGGGCATTGGTGATTCAAATACTGTAGGAGTGGGGATAAAGTAGAACCATTCATTATCTGCAGATACTTGATTCATTTGCTGAGACTGGAAATAAGAGGAAGAGAGAATGAGGAAATGATACCACGTAGTGCTTCAAGGAATGTATTATCTGAGAAACAAACTTTACCGTTTTCTAGATTTTTCAAATTTGTCTTTGCTCTCATTAAAGTGGGTTTATTACAGAGTTGATAGTCAAGACTCAAACTCAGAATTGCTAAAGAATATCAATTTTTGATTCATTCTTACATGCTTATTAGCAGAGTCATATTGTAAAAGTAATTTTATTCTCCTATAATAGTTGTCTCCGAGGCTTACTGCCTGAGTCTGCTAACCTAGGCCTCGTCCTGGAAGCTTCTAGCCTCTGTCCAGTCTAATCTAGGCCAAGATTGTTTTCAGATTCTGAGACTGGCTCACGCTTTCTAGTTCTTTCTGATTTCTGGATGGCTGGTTCAACTCGGCTGTTCTGCCTCAAGCTCTTCAAGCTGATTCAATTTGTCTTCTAGCTAGGCTTTCTGAGTTGCTCTGCTTGGCCTCATACTAACTTTAGCAATCTGTTTTGATCTTCTAGCTTCTTCTCATTCTCTGGCTTGTTCTGTCTTCACCTGTGTCTAGCTTGTTCTCTCTACAGTTTATTTCTCTATATAACTGTTCCGGTAAAACTGCACCACCCCCCCCCACTGCTCTCTTAAGTAGCTTCTCTTTCCTCTCTCTTCTCCTGAGAATTGGCTATATCCTAGTCTGTCAGATCATTCTCTGAATTGTCACTTTGTCTGCCTCTCAATTAGACATTGCTTTCAATCATGCATGCTTCCCTCTACAAACTAACTCGACTTTCATTGTTTGAGATTAAAGGTTTGTAGTAAGGGCATGTCTGTATTCCAGCAAGAGGGACTAAAGGTGTGTGTTGAGGGTGGAGCCACACCACAACTAGAAACAATTTTTTTCAGTAAATAACACAATCTTGTTGTTCACAGTGTGATCAAACATCCTACAACACCATATGCTAGTCTCTGGAGAATGGTACAATAAATATACTACTTGGTCTGCCACACTAGAAGAGACGACATCTCAAAGCATCTCTGTGGAGTTCCTACTGTGACAAGAACTACATAGTTCCTATAGCAGGCTCTCTTAACCCCTGGAGAGTAGATCTTTTTTTAAGGCAATGAAGCTCAATCTGAGTTGGAGAGATTGGGGGATACTTAGGTGAAAGATTGGGGGACAAACACTCACTGTGAGCTTTCGAAGGGCATTAGGCAGCTTGAAGAGAATAAGAGGACATTTGATAGGATGTGCATGGCAGTTTGAAGTTCTCCTGAGCACCAGAAGACAGCTGAAAAGTGATTTGTTGGGTGAGGGAAATTTTTCGATTAGCATCATCTTTTGCTGTTGACTTGAGCAGAAAAGAGAACAGAGAGGTAAGAGAAGTAGTGGATAGTTAGGGATGCTGCAGAAGCCAGCCAGAGCTGGTGGCAGCTTATACTCAGCAGTGCAGTGACATGGAAGGTAGCGTTCAGAAACACTTAGGGGTTACAATGGCAGGCTTCAGTGAGAGCTGGCAGGAGGTGGAAATAGCCTTGCATTCTCGTTTTTTTGAACTGGTGGTTAGGTTGCTATGCAGAGGGCCACTTCATTTTTTTGTTCACAGTGACCACATGTTTTATATGGCCCTGTAGGAAGCAAAGGCATTGACATGTGGTGTAAGATGAGAGTTGGTGTTTGAGCTTGGTCCATGTGTTCTGTCCTTGGTTATTGATAACATCTTCTTGACCATTTTATAGTGCTGTGATAGAGCACACCAATCGTGTCATCTTTCTGGAAGATGATGATGTTGCAGCAGTGGTGGATGGCCGTCTGTCTATCCACCGAATTAAACGAACTGCAGGAGACCATCCTGGCCGAGCTGTGCAAACTCTGCAGATGGAACTCCAGCAGATCATGAAGGGTGAGTACTTTCTAATGTTAGGACTCGGGATGCTTCAAGAAAGCGAGCATCCTACTTCCCTTACGGCTGATGGAGCTGGTGAAGCCTTCCATATGATGAGTCGGATGGTCAACCCAGAAAGGGATGACTCCGGAGAAACTGTCTGCTGGTCTTAGAATAGTTCTTGAAACTAACTCATGGTTTGTTTTTGAGTAGTGTCAAATGTTTAAAGTTACTTTGTGAGGATAAGTATGCCTCATGTCTGTTTAGTACTCTTGTTGTATTCTCTCTGTGCTTCAGCCTTCTCATGTGTTACGAGGGGGAAATAGAAGCTAGCACACTAAGGTTTGAAGATCAAGAAGGCTGATCTGTATAAGCTCTTAGAGTTGTGCTTGATACCTGTGTGCCCCACATGATGTGTACTGCCATTAACTGTTAGGACTTTTATTCTCCTGTCTGATTGTGCTGTAGTAGGGATTATATTATAGAGCTACTGTCTTCAAAGTTCCATGAGCCCTACTACAGACCATTCGAGGAAGTGAATATTGATCATCTTTATAAGTAAGGAAATTTCCTGGTTGACATAGTAAAGGATAGCTTGATGATTTGAACTTAAATTTGAATCAAATTTATCCTATGCCCCTATTTTTATATAACTATGATTTTTAGCTATTAAGTAAATAAAAGTGACTTTCTTCCTCATTCATTTTTCATGTAGAGTTAAAATGCTCATCCAGGCTTTTAGGAAGTCAGTCTGAATGAATACGCTTTATTGCATGACCCTTTGTCTCATCTATCAAGAGTAAGTTGAAAAGAGATAGTGTGTTTATATTGAAGAGATAGTTGATTGTGTGCGGATTTCCTAGCTTAGTGTTGTTTTAATTATATATATAATTTTTATTTTTGTAGGCAACTTTAGTTCATTTATGCAGAAGGAAATTTTTGAGCAGCCAGAATCCGTTGTGAACACAATGAGAGGAAGAGTCAATTTTGATGACTACACTGGTAATGACATTTTGTATTTTGTCACTTAAGTCTCCTGGGGGAGTGCCATTAGCAACCTGAAAATGCATTGTCTTTCTTATAGGTCTCTGGAACAGCTGAGATTGCCAGGTATCACAGTGTAGGTTGAGTCAGAGCTCAGATTTGGGGACAGGAAGTAGGCTGATGGTGACCAGGTGCTGGGGTGTTGGTGGAGAGTCATGGTCTCCTAGGTAGTTTCCACTGGGTATGCTGGAAAGTTCTAGAGTTGGATGGTAGGGCTGGGGTCCCACAGTGTGGACGTGCATAGTCCCACTGAGAGGGTGACTGTCACACACTGGGTTCCTGCCGTGGCTGTCAGGGACAGTTCTTTGCATGCCTTGGGCACTGTGGATTCTGAAAAGAACCTCTCTGCTTGTTCAAGTTTCATGTATGGGTCAGGCTAGGTTTCTTTCTAAAACTTTCTTTGAGATTTATTTGTTTACATGTATGAGAGCTTTGCCTGTCTGCTTGTATATATGTGCACCACATTCGTACCTGGTGCTCTTGGAGGTTGGAAGAGGATGTCAGATCCTCTGGAACTGGATAGAGTTTGGAGTCATCATGTATGTCTGGAAACAGCCCAAGTTCTCTGAAGTAACAGCAAGTGCTCTTAACCGCTGAGCCATCTGTCCAGCCCCTAGGTTTCTTTCATAAGTAGCAAAACATGAACTTCTGCAGAGGCCTTTCATGTTTGCACCTTATTCCATATTGAAAGCAGAAGGCAAGGAACAGCTCTGGTCTCTAGAGCACACACCACAGCAGCTTATAGACATCTCATGACTGGACTCTTGTCTCCAACTCATGTCACAGGCGTAGACCTTAGCAAAGTTTTGATGTAGTCTTTCCTTCAATAATTTAATCATGTGAATACATAATTAACAATTTAAATAAAATATGATCCTAGCACTAGAAAGTTTAGTATTGAATTTAGGAGATGTGGAGAATGAGTTTATTTGTGGGAAGGGATGTTGGGATGAGGGGAAGCCTCATGAAGTTAGGAGGTGTAGGTCTGGAAAAATGTAACTAAGTGGAGGTCAGATGGGAGTACTCGCTGGCTAGAAGAACATTAGCTGAGGACATCGGTGGGAAAACCATGAGGAGGCTGCTTATGGAGTACTCTGTAGTTTGGGGTATGTCCCAGATCTAGGATTTGAAGAGTTGTAAAAGAAAGTCAGTTTAGGAAAGTTGGGGAGAGGAGCTGTCCTGAGGAGGTGGAGGGTGGGGCACGGTGGGGTACCTCTGCTGTGGAAGCTGAGTAGCTTTGAAAGAATGGGTGCTAGCTGGTCTCTAGGTGCAGGAGAAGGGAGAGCCTGGGGTACATATATCAGTAGAATGGTGATCTGTCTGGGCACAATGAAAAGAGGAAGAACGGGGAGCCAGAGGAGCGAAAGGAGTGAGGCAGTAAAGACCCATGTAGGTCTGTGAGGACTCCTAGAATTAACCTAAATGCTATCAGGAGTTTGTTAGACTAAGCTTAGGAAGCATGGTATCTAGCTAAACACATCTTAACCTACCTGTCCTCCTTGATCTCCCTCTGCAATACTAGCTTCTCTGGTAGGCTGTCTGTTCTTTTGGGAGGAGGGATGGGGGTGGTATGTAGCCCCAAATGACCTGAAACTCACTTTTGAAGACCAGGCTGACCTTAGACTCGGAGGTCTCCACCTGCCACTGGAGTTAAAGGCGTGCCCTCCCCATGTTCGTTTGTCTCTCTTTAATGGAGTCACCTGACTTGCTTTGGTATGACCTGCCCCAGCCTCCAGCCATTGTTTCTCTTCTGTTTTATAGCCATACATTTGGTTTTGAATGACTGAGTTTATTAAGTATATGGCAAGCCAAAGTAACATAATCAATAGAAAATGATGGATAAACAGACAGAACAAAATATCAAAATGTCTAGCAGAAACTAACTGAGAAGGCCTCGGTAACATACTCAGTTGGAGTCTAGTCAGGGTAAAAGGGTCTCTTAAGTGAGGGGAGGCTTCCGAGTATCTAGAGAGGACATTGTCAAATTGGGTATAAAGAGACAGACCTCGGATGTTGAGATGGTCCTGAACTTCCAGCTTCTCCTCGCCACTCTAGACATTTTTTATTATGGGGAAAGCAGTAGTAGCATCTGTTAGAAAATCCTTCCGGGAGCTGTTCTCAAGGGCTCAATGGTTTTATTATTATTATTATTTTTTAAACTCTTAGGTTGTTGTAGTGTTTTCTTCTCTTGCCTATCACAGTGTTAGAGGGCTAACCTGTCTTCAGATTGTAGAGAACAAACATTCTTGGGTCAGATCACAACTCGCAGGAGTTGTTTCTCTCCTTTTGTCATGTGGATCCTGGGTAGAAGTCAGGCCATCAGGCTCAGCAGCCTTTACTTTCTAAGTCATCTCACCTACCCAAATTCATCATTTAAAAAACGTAATTATTTCTTTAAAAAGATTTACTTATTTTTACTTTATAAGTATGGTGTTTTGCCTGTATGTAGGCATGTGCACCATATACATGCCTGTGCCTGAAAAAGGTGTTAGATCCTCTAGAACTTGAGTTACAGATGCTTGTGAAGTCGGGGGGGGGGGGGCTGGGAACAGAACTTGTTTGTATTCTGTGCAAGAGCAGCAACTCCTCTAGACCCTGAGCCATCTCTCCAGCCCCAAATTCATCATTCTAAATGTAACATTCTGTTTTGATTTTTTTTCTTTTTTGAGACAGGATCTTGCTGTGTTGCCCAGGCTCATTAATCTTGAGTTACTAGTGTCAGTGAGGCTATTGTCTCAGCTTCCTGATAAGATTCTGGGTTTGACAGACCTTTGTAACAGCCATAATCATATCTTCAACAGAGTCACAACATAGAAATTTCAGTCATTCTAGACATTTCCTTACGCCCTCTTGTCATCCTCTCTCCAGATCCAGCTTTCAGTGCCAACTGACCTACTGCTCCTGTCCTCGTGGTTTTCCTTTAGGTAGTTTTTAACATATAGGGAGGAATGGAAAGTGATTAAAGTAGAGCCCAGGCCTGTCTGCATGCCTTGATGGGTGGGCGAGGTGAGTGCAGATGGGGGAGGGGCCAGGTCCAAAAAGGAATATGAATTACTTAAAACACTAGTATTTTTCTTGTTAACAGTGGATACTGGTGAAAAGTGCCTCCCTGTTTTATTAGGTCTTTTCTAGGTAATTATATACACAAATTTCTATTTCAGTGAATTTGGGAGGTTTGAAAGATCACATTAAGGAGATCCAGCGGTGTCGGCGGTTGATTCTTATTGCTTGTGGCACAAGTTACCACGCTGGTATGGCAGTAAGTGGCCCCTTTACATTTCATTTATGTTGTGTTGAAATCAGGATGTCTGCCCATCAGTCATATTTCTAGGAACCTTGAAAAGCTTTAAAAGTCTGTGAAAGGGACTTACATTAGTTGTCAATAAGAAACTGGGACATGTTACCTGTAGTTGTTTTATAAGGAAGTGGATTAAACACTGGTGTGTATAGGTCTCTTACTTTAAGATGATTTTCCAAAGTTGATGATGATAATTTTTTACTTGCTGAAACACAAATATTTATCTTTTACCCTGGGAGCCTTTTATAAAAATAAATAAATACATAAATACATAAATAAATACATAAATAAATAAATGGGTTTCTCTGTGTAACCCTGGCTGTCCTGGATGACCTGGAACTAACTTTGTAGACCAGGCTGTCCTCACAGCCTCATTCACGTAGATCCCCTTGCCTCTGCCTCCTGAGTATAGGGATTAAAGGCAAGGGCCACCACACCAATCATTTATTGAATGTGTGAAATTGTCTGGTTAGCAGCCTTTGCATGTCAGCAAGCTGTACTTTTCCAGAGGACCTCTCCCCAAACACTTCTTAGTCTGAGAAGGTGGCATTTTATAAGCATGAAGAAAGAGGAAGTTAAAGACACCAGTGAGAACGTAAGGAAGATGTGGATGAGGTCAGCGCTGTAACATCCGTTTGTGACTGAGTCTCCTGCTCAGAACAAAGCATTTGGCTGCTGCTGCATTCAGTGCTGAGCCTCAATTTGAGTACAAAGTATTGCTATGTTAGAGTTCTCCGAATTGTCTGACTTCTCTAAGGGTGAGATTTTGTAAGGGATATGTGTGCCAAAATTAATGAAAGCACATAAGAAACCTCTTGCGGGTAGCATATGAAATAGTGCTGTTAATTCTCTTCATCCTAGATCGAGTGTTTAACTTTATGATATAGTCAAATGTGAGTGACAGACACATGCGCCTTCTTTCAGTGTATCTGTACTCTGACTAGTAACAACTGCCTATGCTCAAGTTGTTCTAAAATTAGCATGCTTTCCAAATTTTAATTACCTTATGGGTTTTCAGTGTCATGTAATGGAATTTGCAGCATTAATAAAAAACTTTTTTTAGGTTAGGATGAAAATATTTAACTATGTGTATTTGTAAAGAATTTATCCAACAACACATTTTGAGCATTTTGAGCAACACATTTGCTCCATCAACACTAATGTTTGAGATACTTTTGAGTTACATTATTTTTAAATATCTGGTAGGTTGGTTTGTTTGAAGATCAATGCCAATGTAATGCATTTGTAATCTAGGGGAATTTTTTTACTTACATTTGTTTGAAGGAAGACATCTAGCTTGCTAGTGTCAGTAACTGACTTACAATAATTATAAATACACCAACAGAAAAGTAATTAAAAGTTGGAACACCTAATTTTCAAATACTTGGCATTCATGTTGCTGTAATATTGCTTAAAAACTGCCAAACTAGAATCCTTGTGGGACCAGACACAAGCAGGCAAATGTGTAAGAGCTGTGGAATAAAGACAGCTTTCCTCTTTCATACCATGATCCATTGCTCCAAAGTTGACAATAGTGAACAGAACTTCTAAACAGAACTTCTAAAATGTATTCACTTTTTTGAAATAGTATTATTAATAAATATAGTACATTTGTAAAGTATTTAAATTTCACTGAATATGTACATTATTAAAATTTGAACTTTAATTTTCTATGTTTAGAATTAGAGAATTAGTGCTACACAAGTTGATTCAGAACAGTGCTTTTTCTGCTAAATGTTTCATATTTGTGGATATATTTGCTTTTCAGAATGTTTTCATGGAGCTTGGATTTATGGCTCACACCTGTAATCTCAGCACTCAGGAGGCTGGGACAGGAAAGTACTGCAGATCTGAGGCCAGATTGGATTATACTGAGTTCCAGATTAGTTTAGTGTTCAACAAAATAGAGCGTACGCATTGGTAGTTATTCTCAAAGGCTTGTACTGCAGAGTTAGCAGTGCTATCTCTTGAGTGGTGGGATGGTGAATACTTTTAAAATTTGTGTTACTCAATGGTTTCCAATTTATGCCTTGTTTTTCTTGTGGCAGTGCTGGGGTTGGGACCCAGGCCCTGCTGTGCATGCTACGCAAATGCTCACCCCTGAGCTACACTTCTAGTCTCTGTGTTATTTTTTGTAATTGGAAAAGTGGAGACTATACTTTAAGACCAAAGAAGGTCAATGAAAAAGGATGTCTTAAGGCAGATTGTGTTCTCTTTCCTCTGTAGACCCGTCAGGTCCTGGAGGAGCTGACAGAGTTGCCAGTGATGGTGGAGCTTGCCAGTGACTTCTTGGATAGAAACACTCCAGTCTTTCGAGATGATGTTTGCTTCTTTATTAGTCAATCAGGTGTGTTCATTTTAGACTTGAAGGGAAAAAGTCATTTTAAGTCAAGTTTCCTAATAATTCTACCATATCTTTTAAGAACTGATATTTAAACTGGTATTTCAGATGACCTGGTAACACAGATTCTCTTCAGTTGTACCTGTACATTCTTCATGACTTAGTAAAGATGAACATCTTTTTTACATGTAGCTTGAAGAGTTTAATTTTAAGAAACAAAAACTGATCCTAGAAATTTTACACCTTGTAAATGTATGGTTTTTGTTATTGTTTGAGACAGGTTCTCACTGTGTAGCCTTGGCTGGCCTGAACTTACTAGGTAGACCAGGCTAGCCTCCAACTCAGTGATCTGCCAGCTTCTTTGACCCAAGTCCTAGGATTTAAGGCATGTGCCACATGCTCGGCCATATCTTGTAAGTTTAATAAGAGCGTGCCTTGTGCTTTATTTAAAACAAGTGATAATATTGAAACGTGGCAGTTGGTTGGTTTTCATGTGAGAGCTGCATCCTCTGAAACTGTTCTCTGTTACTGTTGCTCATTTTACACAGGCGAGACAGCTGACACCCTGATGGCTCTTCGTTACTGTAAGGAGAGAGGAGCCTTAACTGTGGGGATCACAAATACAGTCGGCAGTTCTATATCCAGGGAGACAGATTGTGGGGTGCATATTAATGCTGGTCCTGAGGTTGGTGTGGCCAGTACAAAGGTAAATTTTTGGTTTCTTCCATGGAAGTTACTTAACCATACTGTTGGTAAGAGACTCTGATCTGTGGATAGTTAATGTGTTCTCTTCCCTTAGGGAGGAGACCAGGAGGAACCTGGGTTTGTTAGCCATCAGCTTAGCTCCAGGTTCATTGAGTGACTGTGTCTTAAGGAGTAAGGCAGAGATTGATAGAGCAGGATGCCTCATGGCCTGCTCTCCTGTGCTCATGTGTGGGTGGATGCATGGGTGTGCACTCACAGCTCGTGTGTGGATACATGTGTGTGCACTCCCAGTGCCTACCTCTCCCTTCCCCACACAGTCAAACAAATAAAACTCATTTCTTTAACGTTTTAAAAGTAGATCTTACATGACAGTATCTGTTTCTGTTTAGACAGTCCATCTGTAGAAGCTTTAAAATACTTTTTTAAATGTATGTAAAGCTGCTTTGCTCTTTGAAGTTGAGATATGAATAAATGTAAGAAATATCCAACTCTTTGCAAGCTGTATTGATATAAAAGGTTAATCTCCACAGATACGTTACTTTATATGATTTTGAAAATTTAACTTATCTGTTTTTCTACTTAATATTTTTTTATTGATGCTCTAATAAAATAGATGTCAGTGGTTTAGGCTTTAATCTTTAAAAACTATTATGGAAAACTTTTTGTGGGAAAGTGTGTGATTCTTATGTTTAAAGCTCTTGAGTTTTTTGTTTTATTGAGAGCCTTAATATTACTATGATTTACATATAGCTGAAATGTGGATTTTCTCCATATGGTATTCAAACATCATAAGATGTGTGTGTTCAGGACCCCGTTATTGGTAAATGCATAACTGGCTGTTATTGAGCAGTGTTGAGAGAGCTCTGGTGCAGTGTGGGAACAGCTCCTGTGAGCCACTGTACTTCACCATTGTGCGGCCATACAGGACGAGGAGTTGCAAGGGAAAGAAATCTTTTGTTTATGAGAGCTCTGATTTCCTCCCTCGTTTTCCTATGAAGGTTCACATGCATGTAGTGGTTATAGTGACTTCACCCCCATTGTCCCCCGTCTGGATCCCACCCTTAGTCTCTTTTCCACAGCTTTGCACTGTCACGTGGTAACTTAGGGTAGTACAGCTGTCGCCACACACAGCTTCAAGAGACTTTGTTCACAGAAGAGCGTTTGTTCCTCTGCCCTGTCCAGCCATTGCCCACCTCAGATCTCTACCTGCATGCTCATAACTACTTTTCTTGTTGTTTCCAGACTTTTCTCATGAATGGGGGTTTTGTGATGCATGTGTTTTGTAACTGTCTTTCATTTAACATGAAGCCTTTGAGGCTTGTTCATTTTGTTATTAGTATCAGTATTTCTTTCTTTGAAAGCAAATCCTTTTAATTTTTTAAAAAATTGAAACAAGATTTATAGGAAGTTGCAGGCTGCATCAGTCAGCTTCACATTATGATAACAAAATACCTGAGATAGCTAGTTCTGAAGGAATGAGGTTTCTGTTAGTTCATAGCTCTGGAGGGTCAGGTCTAAAGTTACACAGCCTCATGGTTTTGTGCCTCTGGCTAGACTGTCATATCATGGTGAGGGGGGATGAGCCAAGCAAAGATAATCTAAGGGTCAGAGATCCCACAAGATCCTTCACAGACATTTTTCAAGCTAACCAAAGGACCCCTCACTGGATTAGCTCCTACCAAAAGGAGGAGGTCCTGTGACCTTTCAGGGGTGCCTCTAACACAAGGACTGGTCTCTGTTCCTAGCCCCAGTGCAGAGAAGTCTCTTGTATGCTTCACTTAGCTCCCTGGTGCTTACATCTTATAAGGAAGCAAGCATCTTTTTCTAGACCGTGATTTCTCTTTAAAGTGATTCTGGTTTAGTAAGTGAGTATTGGCAAGTGTCACAGCAGGTAAAGATATCCACTACCAACATCAGCCAAGCCTGATAGTCTGAATTTGCTCTTCAGAGCCTGTGTAGGGGAAGGAGAGAACTGTCTGCCTGTAAGTTGTCTTTTGACTTCCACACATGTGGAGGTTATTGTATCCCAAACACCCTCTAAATAAATAAATGTAAAAATATTTTAACAAGGATGGCAATATAATACAGCTTCATTTTTCTTAGATTTCAAAGTGATGTTATTTTCAGCTGTCTTAGATATTCTTGGCTTAGAGTTTTATACCAAAGATAGGCTTTGGTATATTTATTACAGATCATTTCTGAATTCTGTGTTCTAAGTAATCACAGAAGTTGCTCAGTGTTCCCTTCACTGGCTCAGTAATGAGCCTGCATACAAGTTTCCAACTCCGCCTGCCACAATGATTGGCTTAGAGGCTGTCACTGACTTTTACATACCATCAGATAGTAGATAATTTGGTGTTTCCTTAGGAAATGTGCAGAATTTGCAGTTTTTGTTATTGCAGATGTTTAAATTTTTACCACACTGCTGACTTAGTTTGTGTTCCCCCCTGCCCCAATGTGTTTTAAGTAATTTTGTCTTGGTTGAATAAAAAGAAAATCAAGTTGAAAAGTTGAGTTAACATTTTCTGGGTAAACGTTTTTCAGCTCAGTAGACTGGTAAGTATTAGGTGTAGCTTGTTGTTATCACAGTGAGTTTGTGACGTACTGACAACATGTAGTATGGTGGCTCAGTGGGAGTGTGGGGAGCTAGACTGAGCTTGTTACCAGGTCAGATTGGATTTGGAATAGCTTTTATCTAAGGAGACCAAGACACTGGCCTCCTTTGCCCTGTTTATTGAGGGGCACACTCATGGTGACAAGAGGTAGGTTCAGCCCAAGACCCTAGAACACAGGGTTCTTTTTTTTTTTTTTTTTTTTTTTTTGAGACAAGGTTTTTCTTATAGACCAGGCTGGCCTCAAACTCAGAAATCTGCCTGCCTCTGCCTCCCAAGTGCTGGGATTAAAGGCGTGCGCCACCACTGCCCAGCAGAACACAGGGTTTTTAAGCATGGAGGCAAGGGGCTCTGTGCACACTTCAGCATGTGAGCATTCCAGTTTGCTTCAGGGATGCAATGGGGACAGGTGGCTGTGGAGGCCATGACTCCAGCAAAAGTGTTGGGGTCCCAGGTAATGGTTGTGCTGAGAAGGTGCCTCCTCAGAATGGCAGGAGTGTAGACGCCAGGGAAATGATTCAGGGAAGAGTGCTGACTGAGTGTGAAACCACACTATACCCTGGATAACAACCGTGTGCACAGCACAGTATGCCTAACAGTTTAGTAATGAAAAGTAAGTAAAAGCTTTCTTGTATTAACACCTAACACACGAAAAGAAAGCTTTCTTTGAAATAATACTGTCAACCAGGCATAGTGCCACACCCCACCTTTGTCCTAGCACTGGGGAGGCAGAGGCAGAGGCTTCCAGATCTTGGGATTTATGGCCAACCTGGTCTACAGAGAGAGAGTTGCAGGACATCCAGGGCCACATGGAGAAATCCTTTCTAAAAAAAAAAAAAGAAAGAAAGAGAGGGAGAGGGAGGGGGGGAGGGAGGGGGGGGGGGGGGGAAGGGGGGGAGGGAGGGAGGGAGGGAGGGAGGGAGGAGTGAAGGAGGAAAGGAAAGGAAGAAGAAAGAAAAAGAAACAGATAAAGAATAAAATTGTCAGAAGAAAATACGTAATAGCTAACGCACATGAAAAGAAATCTTGATTTCTTTGAACTGAAGCTATGAATGGTAGGTAGTCTGTTTGGCTGCATGCACCTATAGTCCCAGCAGCTAGGAATATAGTTGGGAATTACCTGAGCTCTCAAGTTTGAGATATAGCTTAGAAACATAGGGAGACTCTGTCTTAAAGGGGCCAGGGCTGCAAGATGATGACTCAATAGAAGACTCCTACATGGTGAAAGGAAAGAACTGAGTTCCACAGACTTGTCTTCTGACTTGTTTACAGGCCTGTCAGGACAAGCCTCTGTATCCCTAGCTCCAAATAGATGTTTAAAAAATGTTAAAATAGTAGTCATTTATCTAAAAAGATAACCCTGCCTTTTTGACAAAATGTGGCAGAGCAGGAACACCTTGACTTCACACACGGCTGAAGGTGGCTTACAGTTTCTGCAAGCTGGGAGATTCACATTGTCTCCAGTCACACCTTTCAGTGCACGTTTCTGCCAGTGCTCTTGAGCACAGTGTTCGGGCTGTGTATCAGAAATTGTACTGGGTGCTTTCCGTATCTGAGCTAATTCTCAAGATAGTCTTGGGTTCTGGAACCCTTAACATATAGGGCATCTGAGGCTATAGAGAGGAAACCAGCTCAAGGTTCGTTGACACCCCTAAACAAAGGAAGATGCTTAGATGTTAGGTGTCAAAGAGCATAATACAATTCTGACACTTAATGCTTGTTTTTAACTGAGTGGTTTTTGAGACGGGATCTCATGCATCTCAGGCTACCCTTGAACTTGTTCTGTAGTTAAAGAGAGTCTTGGGTTCCTAATACTCCTGGCCTTGCCTCCTAAGTCTTGGGACTATAAGTGTGTACTACCATATGTGCAAACATACTCAGCTTAATAATTAATTTTCTCTTCTTTCTTTTATTGAAAATAAATTTCTTTTCATACTTAATGTAAAGAAAGGAAAACTGGGGCCAGCAAGGTAGCTAAGTAAGTAAAGGAACTTGCTGCCAAGCCTGACAACCCAAAATTTGATCCTTTGGACCCCCATAGTAGGAGAGAACTGACTCCAGAGGCTGTCCTGTGTCCTCTGTATATGCTCTCTGGCATGCACACACCCATAATCAAAACACACATACAAATAGGTAAATGTAAATCATGAATTACAAATACATCATCATAGGTTTGCAGTTTCTTAATTTTTATTTGCTTACGTACATTTAGACTTTTATTGAATTTTTAGTTTTTTTGTTAAAAAAGACTGGGGACCTGTGCTTGTCAGAACAATGCTTGGCACTCAAGCATGAGCAGCTGAAGTGGAATAGCCGGGTCCCTGGATGTCCCTGTAGAGTGTAATAGTGAGCCCTAGGCCCCAGGGAGAAACCATGTCTCAACAAGAAGAACACCTAAGGCTGGCCTCCAGCTTCCACATGCACATGTGGGTAAATCTTCCCCAAGGTGCCTTCTTCCCATAAACTCAAACACAAGGTGAGAATGAGCCAGGTATGGTAGCTCACACCTCTACTTTCTGCTCTTGGGAGGCTGAGGCAGGAGGATTACTCTGAATCCAGCCTGCGTGACAAGGGGTAAGACCCTGCCTTAAAACAAACCAGTGAAAATGAGAAACAGCCAGTAGGCAAAAGGGTAGAAATTGTGTGTGGGAGGGCCCCCAGTTTGTAGCCTGCCATCCCCTCACTCAGGGCAGGCACAGTCAGGTTAACTGAACCTTCCTTCAGTCTTCCTTTTTCCTTCTTTCTTAGGACTGGGAGGGGTCTCACCAGTGTTTTGTGAGAGGCTGTGTGGGCCTAAGACACAACTTAAGTAGTGAGGCAGGCCAGCATCACCAGAGTTGCTTTTAAAAGATGAATAGAGAGGGGCTGGAGAGATGACTCAGTGGTTAAGAGCACTGGCTGCTTAAAAAGGATGCAGGTTCAAATCCCATCACTCACATGACAGTTCACAATTGTCTGTAATTCCAGTTCTAGTGGATCTGACACCCTTACACAGACATACATGGAGGCAGAACACCAATATACATAAAATTAAAAAAAAAAAAAAAGATGAGCAGTGTATATTGTGAAGGAATTAGGATTTAATTCTTTTGTTAAAGTTTCCAAGTTCTTAAAATTCACCTGGAGCCAATTTTTCTGTTTTTTGTGGTGCTGCAGGCTTACACCAGCCAGTTTGTGTCCCTTGTGATGTTTGCCCTCATGATGTGTGATGACAGGATTTCCATGCAGGAGAGACGCAAAGAGATCCTTCTTGGGCTGAAGCGGCTGCCAGGTATGCATAGGAAATAATAGGGTGATCTTGCTTTTCCCTCCCTCCCTTCCTCCCCCCCTCCCTCCCTCCCTCCCCCCCCCCCGCCCCCCCTCCCTCCCTCTTTTCTTTTTTTTTTTTTTTTTTGGTGAGACAGGGTCTCACATGACTTGGGCTGGCCTCAGACTTAACTATATAACTGAGGGTGACATTGAGCTTCAGATCTTCTTGCTTCTACCTTGTGGGTGCTGAGATGACAAGCGTGCCATCGTGCCCATGCCTGTCAGCATGAACCAGTGTATGCAGTGCTGGGGATTAAGCCCAGGGCTTTGTACAGGGAAGCAAGCATTCTCCCATCAGAGCCACACCCAGCCATTAGCACTTTAAGACTATAAACACTGATTGCAGTTGGCAAAGACTTCGTTTTCTAGACTGTATCTTTACCCTGCTAATTGTTTTCTTTGCTGTGCAGAAGTTTTTAAATTAGCAATAATCACACCCTGTGTAAAATACCCCACTGAACAAAGCTGCAGAAACTTAATTTTATGAAGTCCTGCTGGTCAGTTCTTGTGCTCATTTCCTGTACTAGTCGGAGTCCTTTTAAGGAAGTCCTTGTGTTTGCCTTTGGCAATGTATTGAAGTATTTTCACAAAATGTTTTTCTCCAGTAATTTCAGAGTTTCATATTCAAGACAATCTTTGGTTTATTTCACATTGGTTTTTCTTCAAGGTGAGAAATAATAGATCTAATTTTATTTATATGTCCATCTTCAGTTCTCCCAGTATGCTTCTTTAAGAGGTAGTTTTTCTTCAAAGGTGATTTTTCTTTAGTGTATTTTCTTGACGTTTTTGTAAGAGCTGGTGGCTGCAACCATGTGGCCTATTCCTGGGTCCTCTGTTCTGTGAGTCCACATGTTGGGCTATGTTTGTGGCATGTGTTGGTCGATACCTCTGAGTATTGTGACTGAGTATAGTGACAGATACGCCTGCATTACTCTTCCTGCTTAAGATGGCTTTGGAGACTTGGAATCTTTTGTACTTTTTATGTTTTACTAGAGCAATGTTTCTCAGCCTTTCTAACACTGCAACCCTTTAATATTAGTTCCTCATGTGGCAGTGACCCCCGACTATAAAATTATTTTTATTGATACATCATGTCTGTAATTTTGCTACTGTTAAGAATCATAATGTAAATTATCAGCGTTTTTTAGTGGTCCTAGGTGACTCCTGTGAAAAGGTCATTTGACATAACCAAGGGTATAGCCCACAGGTTGAGAACCACTGTGTGAGCGTGTCAAAGTTTCTGGATTTCATAGCAACAAACAGAGACCTGGCTAAGGCCTGTCGACTCCAGAGTTATTTATAGCTGATGAGCTGGGCTCTGGGTACCTAGGCAGTCTACCTTTCCCCATACACTTCACTGCCTGGGCTGAACTCCCTGCTGCCTGTACTTGTCCTGTCAGAGTCGAGCCCCGACCCTCACTTCCACCGCCCCTCAGTGCTTTGACTATGATTGTTCTCTGTACTCAGGCCCAGAGTAGTTCAGTTTTTACATTTAATTATTTTATGTGTAGAGGTGTTTTGCCTGCATGTATATCTATGTACCATACACATGCAGGTACCTGTAGAGGTGAGAAGAGGGCATCAGATTCCCTGGAACTGGAGTCAGAGATAGTTGAGAGCTGCCATGTGGGTGCTGGGAATTGAACCTGGGTCCTCTGAAAGGTCATCCAGTGCTCTTAGCTGATAGGCTATTTCTGCAGCCCTGGTTAGTTCAGTTTTAAGAAGTAGGTTTCTTTCTAAGATGGTATCTGGTCACTGCCCCTTGAGACTAGAGAATGACAGACGGGAACCTCATTGCTAGTTGTCTGCTGGAGTAATCACTGTCTGCAGACCAGTGACTGGTTGGAGCCTTTGAGGGCTGTAGTTTGTCCTATGGGTAGGACTGCTCACCACCTCCTCAGGGATGTCTTTTGGATGAAGCTTTTGGTTCCCTTCTCCCAACCATGGGGCTGGAGCTGTGCTCTGTTTGGTTACTTTTTTGCCTGGTGGCTGTTCTGATCTTTTGTGTTTTGAAGATCTCTTTCTCTTGTTTTGTGTTTGGTTTGGTTTTGTTGTTGATTTTTGAGACTGACTGTCTTTGTAGCTCAGGGTGAGTTTTAACTGGGTATGTAGGGGAGGATGACTTTGAACTCTTGATCCTCCTGCCTCTACCTTCTGAGAACTTGGATCACAGCTGTTCCTCACTGCGCCCAATTTTATGCAGTTATGAGGACTGACTCTCTGCCAGTGGGGCTCGTCTCTGGCTCCCTGAGGCTCCCTCCCTCCATTTCTCCCTGCCTCTCTTTCCTTCTCTCCCTTCTCTCCTTTCCTCCCTCTCTCCCCTCCATCCCTTCCTTCCTTCCTTCCTTCCTTCCTTCCTTCCTTCCTTCCTTCCTTCCTTCCTTCCTTCCTTCCTTCCTTCCTTCCTTCCTAAGTCTGACTCCTCCCTTACTGTGTCACAGGAACCATCTTCTGGCCCACCATCCTACCTGAAAAGTCTGAAGGCTTTTTATCTTATTTTCTGTACCTTTGATTTGTAAGGGAGTGGCAATGGGTGACATTCTCATCTTGAAGCTATAGTTTGTAGTTGCAGAGTTAATAAGATCTTTCTGATTTTGCCTCCATGTGTTAGGTAGGATTTCATATTGATACCTCAGAAGAAAAAATTACTGGCTGTTTTGTTGTTTGGTACTTTATCTGTGCAGTGCACTGCTCATTTTTCAAGATGCTCTGATCTTTGTCCTAACAGACTTGATTAAGGAAGTGCTGAGCATGGATGATGAAATCCAGAAGCTGGCGACGGAGCTTTACCACCAGAAGTCGGTCCTGATAATGGGACGGGGCTACCATTATGCTACATGCCTTGAAGGAGCCCTGGTGCGTTGTCTCACTTAAAGTTGATTTCATTCTAATGACTTAGGGAGGGACAAGGAACATTTACTGTTATGTATTCTATAATGCTAGGGATTTTATATCATTCAAGTGAGTGAGAGTGCGTGTGTGTGTGTGTGTGTGTGTGTGTGCACATGTGCACATACATAGCAGCAGTGGTAGGAATGACGTGCACAGCGCATGTGTGGAAATCAGTGGAAACTTAAACAGGAGTCAGTTTTCTCCTTCTACCATTTGAATCCTGGTCATTGAACTCTTCTAGTCAGGCTTGGTGGTGTGCATTGGTTGTGTGCATCTTACCTGCTGAAGCATCTTACTAACTCCCCACGTACTTGTATGCTATGTGAATTGAAATGGATAGAATGTTTTGTTTTTGTTTTTTTTTCTTTCCGAGACAGGGTTTCTCTGTATAGTCCTGGCTGTCCTGGAACTCACTTTGTAGATCAGGCTGGCCTCGAACTCAGAAATCCGCCTGCCTCTGCCTCCCAAGTGCTGGAATTAAAGACGTGCGCCACCACCGCCCAATGGATAGAATGTTTAAAATGCTTCTGTATGTGTTTATTGTGGTTTATTTATCTAAGAACGTGCCACAGGACTTAACTCAAAAGTGAAAGCCCAGAAGAATGTTTCCATGATAACTTGGGTTTAGCAATTTAAGATGGGTGTATATGAACACCAGACCAAGGTTCATTAGATAAGAAATTGAAATGAAGAATAAGGCAAGTAGATAAATGTTTGCAGAGCAGCGTGGCTCTGCCTCTGATCGTCTGAAGCCTTAAGAATGTTCTTCTAGTGCTTCAGGTCAGTAGGCCTTTAATACCTCTCGGGAGACCTAACCATCTCAGATGCTTTGTGTAATGTTTTCTTAAATTGGACTTTTAAAAAGTGAGCTTAAAAAAGAAAAAGTGAGCTAAAGTCTTTCTTGTTTTTTTTCCATACTAGAAAATCAAGGAGATTACTTACATGCACTCTGAGGGCATCCTTGCTGGCGAGCTGAAGCACGGCCCTCTGGCCTTGGTGGACAAGCTGATGCCCGTTATCATGATCATCATGCGAGACCACACTTACGCCAAGTGCCAGAATGCTTTTCAGCAAGTGATTGCACGGCAGGTAGGCCAGTGTGTGCCTGGAGATCTCTGCGTGGGCTACTAAGGCCCAGGTGGATGTTATACTGGCAGTGAGAGAGCAGGCCGGTAGAAGATTACAAATACACTTGCTTGTCCAGTCCTTTTCTTTGCTCTTTATGTCTAAGGAGGCAGACGTGGATTTTGATGATACCTGACCCTCATTTTTCTCATTATCGGCTCTCATAATAGAAGAACTAAACCAGAACGAGGCCCCAGTCTCCAGACTCTTTCTTCCAGCAGTGAATATAGTGCTCTTCCTTTCTACCTTACCATTGTTAAGTACTTAACGTCAAAAGAAACCCTAGTGTTTAGTTTAATTAATATCATGGGTACTGTGGCTGATAGCCCCCTCCCTTCATCAGCTGCTTTATATTTTAATTCAAGAAGATATTTCTCCCTAAGCACAGTGTACTGGAAATAAAGTTGAACTTCAAAGGGAGCCGACCTGTATTCAAGTACTAAATTTGGCATTTCTTTCTTTTGGAAATTTTTGAAAAACCTACTGAGTCTACAAAACCTGTTTGTGCTTCTGTCTAGATGAGCAGTCAGAACATGCCTGTGTATCAGGCAGTGTGGAGCACGTGCCTACTTTTTGCCCAGCATCTGTTTCCTGGTGACTGTGTTGTGTATTGTCCTCTTTCCAGGGGCGTCCAGTCGTGATCTGTGATAAAGAGGATACTGAGACCATTAAGAATACAAAAAGGACAATCAAGGTGCCCCACTCAGTGGACTGCTTGCAGGGCATTCTCAGTGTGATCCCCTTACAGTTGCTGGCTTTCCATCTGGCTGTGCTGAGAGGCTATGATGTGAGTGACTGTGTCCAGAGAACTCTTGGGTGGCATTTGACTTGGGTACATCTTAGTACAGTTCCTCCCAGCTTTCATCTGTCTGTCTGTCTGTCTGTCTGTCTGTCTGTCTGTCTCTGTCTAGTGTGTGTGTATATGTGTGTCACAGTTCATGGGTAGAGGTCAGGGGACAACTTGCAGGAATTGGTTCTCTTCTTCCACTGTGTGTGTTCTAAGGGCTGAACTCAGGTTTGGGAGCAAGCACCTTTGCTTGCTGCGCCGTCTTACTAGCCCCTTCCAGCTTGAAAACTTTGTTTGTTACCACCTGCCATCTTTTCACAGCCAGTTTGTAGTTTACATCAGTTTCTTCTTACCCATAGGACTGTTCCCTCCACACTGACTGGGAGCAGGGCTGTTTTCTTAATAGGCAGTGATGGCATTTTGGGGTGGGACAAGTTATTGTTTGGATTTCTCCCATAGTGAGGGCTGCAGGAGTCAGCATTCTTAATCCTCTCTATGTCATGGGAACCAAAATATCTGGTAGTTTTTCCAGGGTTCCCTGTGAGGGCCGCCTTCCTAGGGGACCAAGGTAGCTCTCCTGTGTATGTTAGCACCTTTGCTTTATTGTTTTTCAGTTATTTTCCGATAAATTACATGATTGTATTTGTTAATATAATTCTCTTTTTCTGCAGGTTGATTTCCCACGGAATCTTGCCAAATCTGTAACAGTAGAGTAAAAGACACCTGAAACTTAAGACAGTTAAGCAACACAAGATACCTTTTGTATTTAAATTTTTGATTTAAAATACTGCCTCCTGAAAGCCTTTTTTAGTAAATCTTATTTATCAGTTATAATTATCCCACTCAACTAATGATTTTTGTGTAATTGCCTCATTTTCAATAATACATGGGGGAGTTTGATTCATAGAATTTAAATCTAAACCTAAAATCAGAGAAATCTTAGCTGTAGTTTGTTTAAAGAACTGGATACTGGATTTCTGGGTCCTCTACTTCAGTGAGGGAGGCTTGTTGAGTGTTTGAGGTGCTTGGTGTTTGCTTTAGCATAACTTGATTCAGTCAGACTGAGGAGAGACCAGTGCATTTAATTGGAATACTCATTGTGCCAGTGCCTGGACAGCCACTGAAGGCTTTGCTACACTGTTTATAAAATAGACGATGCTGCAATTTATTTTGAATCTTGTTTCTGTTCTGTTTTTAAATCAAACTGTACACCAAAAACAAACAAACAACAAAAAAACCCCACCTTGGTGAGATTTATATCTTAGTTTAGTTAAATTAGTGTGAGCATGTCTGTTGTCTCTGCAGACAGTGCATTTGGGTCCTCCATACCTGCATAGAAGACCTTGCGGAATTTCTCAAACTTGTACTGTTAGACACTGACTCGTGGCTGGACACTTGAAGATAGGACATGGGGATCTGCTCCTTATTTCTTCATCTCCTAAGGGTAGTTTGCATTTTCTTGCAACTGTAGAGCTTAACTGAAAAACAAGTACTGTTGAATGACATGCTTTGTAGTTGCCTTTGATGTCATAGCACAGAGTTGCTAACAAGCATCTCAAATTGGTATCGGCATGCTCAGTTTTCTCTTCAGCTTTGTCCCAAGAAGAGTTTCCTGCAGTTACGTTTAACTCCCTTCTCTGCCTTGTTGCAGAAACCATCCCTTGGTGCCGTTTGGAAGTTCTTTTTAATTGCTTGGGAGATTTGCACACTTTGCTGCTCATTTGAACCACAGTGTATGTGGTAGGCTCAACTTAGAGCAGCATGTACTTGGCACTGTGGAGTGATGTCAGTTTCAGGGTTGCTTTCTAGATGTTTTCCTTTGGACAGCCTTGACTCCTGTTCAGGAATGAATGCAGTATAAATAAGTGATACTGTCATGCCTTCAGCTGATAGTGTCAGAAATGCAAGTCAGCAATTTGGATAAAATATTTAAAATAGAACATTAGTTTGACATCCCAAAAATGTGCAGAGTAATTTCTTCACAGAGCTCTTTGGGTCAGATCGTGTGGGCAATAGGAAGGTATGTTTGTGTTCAGGTCAGGTCTGTTTCTGTCAAAAGCTTTCACCTGTACACTGTGAGCATGCAGTACTTAGTGGAGTTGGCAGCTCACAATTTGTGTTTGAACTTGATGGTGAGCAGTTAATGCTTGTGAAGGTGGGTTGAAGAAAGTTGATGTCATTTTAGGCATTTTAGAAGACTTCACTCACACTGATGGCGTGAATCATGATGGAAACCTGATTTTTAAAAACATAAGACAGGGCCACGGTTCATAGTCCATGTTGCTGCTTTGGCTAGCTACGTTTCTCTGGGTATTTATCTCTAAGACTTCATGTTAGTGCAGCATGTGTGTCATGTCATTTCTTATGTCTGACGTAGTAGCACAGCTGCTCATGTTCAGGTGTGGCTTTGGTTTGGCTTGCTGCATTTCCTGTGTTGCTCTGGCACACAGGATGATGCTGGTATGTTGAGACGATCAGCTCAGTACTCTTTGGTCACTGTCAGCTCAGTTACTAACCCAGAGTCCTGTTGGAACAGGTTTGAATTATGCAGTTCAGTCTGTGTATTATGCAGTCCCTCTGTGTAGCGGAACATCACAACTTTTTTGTCTTCTATGACGTTGAACCCATTCACTAGTTTCCCTTCCATACACACTCCAAGCTAGAATACATACGAAACCAGATAGTCAGAAGACCAAATGAGGCCCGGAGTAGTATTGTCTAAACAAATACTATTCTTTTCCATATCCCATTTTGCTTTCTACCTAAATTCTTTTATTAAGTTAATTCTTAATACCCAGATATTTTAGCAAGGCAAAGCACTGGGTGAGTAGATCCTGCTAATTTGGTATAATACAGGACATAGAAATCTCATTTTTCAAAACAAAAATACCCCATAAAAGGGAGGCTTTCTATTAAAAATTTCCCCCCACCTCCGTTTTTCAAGACAGGGTTTCTCTGTGCAGTCCTAGCTGTCCTGGAATTCACTCTGTAGATCATGCTGTCCTCAAACTCATAGCCATCTGCCTACCTCTGCCTCCAGACTGCTTAAAGGCATGCAGCACCATCGCCTGGCTAAAGTCCATCCATCCTTCCTCCCTCCGTACCTCCCTCCCTCTGTACCTCCCTCCCTCCCTCCCTCCCTCCTTCCCTCCCCCCTCTTTCTTTCTTTCTTTCTTTCTTTCTTTCTTTCTTAAAAATTATTTTGTTTACATGTCAAATGTACCTCTTCCTGGTTTCCCCTCTACAACCCCCCATCCCATCCCCCTCCCTGTCCTCTGAGAGGGTGCTTCCCCACCCCCGCCTCACCCCTCTAGCACCTCCCTTCTCTAGGGCATCGAGCCTCCACAGGACCGAGCACATCTTACAGTGTGTTTAAAGTTGAAGTTCGCACATACTTCGCAGGGAGGACTGTGAGGCACCTAACACATGGCCCAGTTGATGGTTATTAGTTTGAAATCAGCTTTATAAGAGAAAATCAATCTATGCCATAACAGTAGAAAGGTTAGAAGGTGAACTGCTCACTCTTAGCCTGTGACTGGCTCAGTGGCTGTGTGTGAGCAGACTGCCGTGCTGGGCAGCAGAGCTACATCCTCAGAGCAGTTCTGACTGTCCCTGGTGGACCTGGTCCCTGTAAGGCACAGTTGGGCAGGTGGAAAGGCGGAGCTGGACTGAGGTATTAAATGCTGGGGATGGGTTTGTTTAACATGCTCATAAGCAGTTGCCCCGGCCTGTCCATGAAATATGGACATACGGTACTATAAAGAATAGCAGTTAATAATATGACAAGCAGTTGTGTATCCCTGCTCCTTAGAGGGATGTCACAGGGTACTGTGCAGAAGGCTGTTAGTTTCAGAACACTAACATCAGCTTTTCTATAGCAGGTTGTTTCTGAGGTGACAGAGTCAGGTCCCTTTGAGTCCAGGCCTCTTGCCTTAGTGGTTCTGATGATGGGGGAAAAGAGCCTGGACTTGGTCCCTTGTAAAGGGACACTAATAGACTTTCACAACACACCGTCAGCCTCTGCAGTTACTCCTTTATCTTTTTTGATAATTAGGATATTCTAGAGCAATAAAAGAGACTAAGGTTACCTGTTTATTATATACTTTAACTGGTATGATTTTTCTAAAAAAATAAAATAAAATAAAGCACAATGTCATTGGAAAACATTTGTTAAAAAAAATCATAATTCACAATTTGGGAAGGTCAAAGACATGGAAGGGAAAGGGAAAGATGTTTTGGTTTATGACAGCCACATGTGTTTAGTGAGTTTGTGTACAGTAATAGGCAGGGTTTTAAGCTTGGAGACAGATTTCACATGGCTTTTCTTTAGTTTCACATTCAAAAATTTGAATATAAGTTGGTCTTTTTCACTGTATTTAAAGATTGTTAATAAGTATTTCAGTATCTTCACAGCTTGAATTTAAATATATCCTCAGATCTGGGATGGTGACAGATAATAAAACTGACAGCATTGGCTTTGAATAGTAATGTCCATAGTTTTAAGCAGGACTGTTAAGTTTTGTTGTGTTAACTGTAAGTCCATACTCACTCGATAGTGATGTTCTAAAGGCTGACGATGACATCTTAGGGAACGTCACCTTACCTTGTTTCTGTGCTAATCTCCAGAGGGGGTAGAAATGGTCTAGCTAACTTTTGAATGTTCTCTGGTTGAATGTGTTTTTTCATTAATAAAGTTTTGGTATTTGTTAAATTATACTTCTGTGGGACTAGGGGTTAGAATCATCATTGCTCTGTTTGGATTTTGTATTCTTTTAAATGAATGTTTAGTTTTCTGAGCCAGATGGTTATTTCATCCTTGTGTCCTGTTCAATCCAGTGACTACACCGGAACTGTGAATAAATTACCCAAAACCTTGCTGTGTGTTTCTTTTTCCTGTTTTGGTTGGGTGTGGGATGGCACCCCGGGCCTACATTAGGCTACAATCCTAGTAGCTCATTTTGAAGGATTTACTAGTATTTAAAACACACATATGCATGTAGCGTTTTAAAGTTGGTGCTGTCTTAAGAATACAGTCAATGCTTTGCTTTCGTTGTTAGTAAACATTGCTGGCATCTTAGTTCTATTGCTTTAAAAAAAAATAAATGATTGTACACACATCCAGAGCCAGTACCCCAGTGCCCTAGCAGTTTTGTGAAGAATCAGTAGATAAAACTCTGATGTAACGTGAACTACACTTTCTCATAGCACTTTAATTTTAAAAATGATTTGTTAGCAGGTTTCTTGGAACACAGGGTGACCAGAAAGCTGAAAGTGCGTTGATAGCTGGGAGAATGGGGGTGAGAGTGCGGTCAGAGCTGGCCTGGCACTTGGCCTGTCGTAGATAGGATGCCCTTTAGAGAGCTAGAAGTAGCAGCTCATGCTGGCAGGAGTCTGCAGCTTTTCCTCCTGTGCTCTATGCCACAAGTATCATGCAGCCCCTCACCTCCCCACCGTGGTTTGGATATAAAATTCAATTTAAATCTGCCTCAGTTGCCAGTTGGTTTTACTGAGTGTTTGCTAGAGCCAGAAAGTCCTAAAAGTTAAAGAATCTCCTTTCTCTGGGGTGACATCAAAAGCAGAATGGTTCTGTTGCCTGATGACAGGATGCAGCAGAGGCTGCTCCCTCACTGGGCTAAAGGGAAATTAGTCTCTGTCTCCCCCCACCCCGCAGCTCCTCAGTTACTAACATATCTGCAAAAGTATGAGTTGCCTGCTCAGATCCTGCTTACAGGAAGTGAGCATATAAGGTGTTACGTTGCCATTCATGACTATAAGCACAACAAATTATTCCCAAGACCTGTAGCCTGTGTTAACCCTTGACTCAG